CGACTTCCGTTCAACCAACTCTCCCTTCTCCTTTTTCTCTCTCTGCTTTTCCTGGCTTTTCTTCTTTCTCTGCTTGGTTTTCGACACACACCTTAAACAACCCCACCTCTTTTTTATTAAGTAGCTAGGGCTCTGTGTAAAATAAAAGATCAAGGCCCATGGCCTTTACTTGGTCCAAACCACTTACATGGGACTGGACCCCATTTTCCTTAACAATAATGGAATGAGTGTTCTGAAAACAGCATGCTTTATTTTCATCAATATTGTATATTTGGTTTTGCAAAATTATAGTAGAAGGTGTTCTTCGTATCTAAGTTATGTATTAACGAAGCTTTCGGCTTTGAACTCTTGGGTATCTCTTTGCCTAGCATTAGGATAGTGACTAGGTTGGGTATGATGGTTCATTTTCTGCAGGTGTAGCACAAGTGATATTGTGATTAGCTCGCTCAGGTGATAGTTGTATGAAGCATCACTATGAGTTTATTTGGGTTAGAGTAGGTAATTTTAAAAGGTTAAGCCATTGTCGTCGAAGCAGCAACAAGAGATGAAGTATCCGATCTTAGATAAGATGCAGTAGAGAATAGCACTGCAAAGAAGCGCGCAAGAGCAACTTCGATTCGTTTTCTATCGGATAGGCAAAGATTAATTTCAAGTATACCGCGATGAGAAAGATAAGCCAACCGAAAACAGAACAAATGCTACTGCTGCTTCTGAGTTCGCATGACTTCGCTCTCGTTGCGCATGGACTTCCTAATCGAACTAAGATGGATTGAGCGGTTGACTCAGAAAAGGTTTGCTCAGGGAAGGAATAACAACAATTTAAGGCTGAAGAATAAAGGAATTTTTTTCTATGGGCTAAATTCCCTTTACCACTCCTCTTTCTTAGTCGCTCGCTTTGCTATGCGTCTACTCTGCCTTGGTGCGTGCACCAGAGCAGCTTCTATCGACTGGTTTTTTTCTCCTCTCTTCTTTTTTTTTTGTTGCTGTGAATTATAATGATATAGAAAATCAAGTGATTGTGTTTCAGTTCAATTCTGATTATCATCCCAAAGCTAAAGATTAGCATCTCTAATATTTTTTTATAACAATCATCACCAAGCTTAATCTCATTATTTCAGCTTTTCTTTTTCTTTTTTTTAAATAATCTGATAATGGAGAAAGAAAAAGAAAATAAACAATAGATAGACCATAAAATTAAAAATTAAAAAATGATAAATATGAAATAAAAATTTGAAATAAAAATGAATAAAAATTTTTACAATCGAGCTTGGACTGGTTTTAATTGACAAAAGACTTCGGACAAAATGGGGTGTCTACAAGAGTCATTTAAATAAAAAAAAAAAGATAAAAAAAAAAAGATGAAAAAAAAACTCATGAGGATCATTGATAGATTTTTTAAAATGAGGCAATGAATACATCAAAATATTTTTTTGAAAAGTAACATGCCAAGATACACAAAGTTTTTGTTCAAAGGATCATAGCAATGATATCCTTTTTGTTTAATACCATACCCTACAAATACATAAATGGTAATTTTTTGAAATAATTTATCACACTAAACTTTAAGAAGCGAAAAAAAAAATATGTAGAACTAAAAATACGAAGCTTAGAATAATTAGAAGTATTGTTACACAAGTGTTCAAAAGGAAAATTTTCACCAATGACAGAAGAAAAAATATGATTAATAACATAAATTGAAGTAAGTGCAACTTTTCCCCAAAATTTCTTAGAAACCAATAAAGATAACAACAAGGCTCTAGTGGTTTCCATGATATGATAATGCTTTCTTTCAGCAATACCATTCTGCTGTGGTGTATCAGTACAAGATAATTCAAAAAGAGTACCTTAAAAAGTAAGAAACTTTTTTAAATTATTTGATTGATATTCCTAGTAAAATCAGCATGAAAATGTTTAATAGTTTTAGAAAACTATGTTTTGATCATAGCAGAAAATTTTTGATAAATTTTAAGTAAATTTGAATGATACCAAAATAAATAAATCTAAGTGTACCTTGAATAATCATCAATAAAAATAACATAATAACAAGAAACCCCATTGTAGGTAAACAAGATGGGCCCCACACATCAAAATGAACAAGATCAAAAGAAGACAAAGAAATTGATTCACTTTTATTGAAAGGTAAAGCAAACTATTTTGTTAGTTTGCAACTGATACAATTATTGGACATTTCTGACTTAACACAACCTAACTTGCCACTAGATACCAAATATTGAAGTCTAGAATAAGAAACATGTCCTAACCTACAATGCCAGAAGGAAAAAGATGAAAGCTTTTGAACCAGAAACTAATAAGAATTTTCACACAAAATGATGATCAAATTGACCAAAAGGATTATGTGACATATGTAAGTTTTTCAAAACAAATAATCTTTCAATTTTACGACCTATCCTAACCACTTTTCCCGTCAAGCAATCTTGCACCATATAACCACAAAAGCAAAAAATGATATTAAGACCTTGATCACATAATTGACCAATAGATAGCAAATTCATGAATAGTGATGAAATAAAAAAACATTATCAAAAGAAACATTTTGAGAACATGAGACAAAGCCAATATGAGTAGCAGACATATTTGAACCATTAGCAGAATGAATAGAAGGTGAACAAGCAATAGGACTTGAAGAGTCAAAGATAAAATTATCAAAAGTCATTTAATTAAACACTCTAGAATCAATGATCCAATCCTTAGAACTAGTACCTGGAGTAGTTGACAATGTAGATGTAGAAAAATTATTACCCATAGAGTTGTTACTCATACTAGAAATAACCTATCGAATAATCTCTTGAGTTTGATTTGCAGTTGAGTAAAAGTTAACATTAAAAGTTTCTGTAAATGATGTCACAACAACAACTCACCCCATTTTACGCAACCTAAATTTTTTTTTCAATTTTGGGCAATTATGCTTTATATGTCCCAACTCATAATAATAGTAACATTCGATCTTTAAAGAATCCCTTTGTTGAGATGAGCCAAATGAATTGGAGATAAAATTTTTCAAATGTGCAACAGCTACTAAAATAGTATCCCCTCATTTGGATTGATTGAGGATGCCTCTCCTAGTTTCTTCAACCATCAATTCTGATAAAATAGCATCAACAGAAAGAGAAGGGATATGATGTAGAATAGAAGCACAAATGGACTTAAAATCATCTTGAAGTGCCATTATGAATTGTGTAAGACGATTTTTTTTTCTGTATCGATAATATAATTCTGCATCAAAAATCCATTTAGGTTCCATAAGAGCTAATTGATCCCAAATAATCGACATTTTAAAATGAAAATCAGAAATTAATTGTCTTTTTCTCTGTTTCAAAGTAGCAAAATCCATCTTAAGTTTATATCTTCGAGCAAAATCAATTTGAACATAATGTTTTCTAAAAAATCCCAAACCTCTTTAATAGTGTCAAATTTCCCATGTTGCATACTAATTGAAGAAGCAACAGTACTAGCAATCCAAGTAATAATTTTGCTATTATTAATTCATATTCAGACATAAATTTTTTCAATCTGTTAAGAGCTCTTGGATATTTTTTATCACCTGTAACATATTTCAAAGTCCTTTTCTTTTTAAAAAATTTAACATCAAATAAGACCAATTATTGTAGTTCGTTTCATCTAATTTTATTGTAATAGGCTATGATGATTTTGAGAGAGCAATGAGAGAAAAACAATTCAAAGCCAATACATTGATCAACTTGTAACAAGCCAATAAATTTACCAATTTGTAACAAGTGAAACAGACATGTCAATTCCACAGGTGTACAATCTAGAACCAATAAAGTATTTAGTCAACCGATAACCAATGAATAAAAGTAGGAAAAGACAAAGGCAATTCCAATTTCACAAAACCCAAACTGTAGTCAAGGCATAAAAACCAATTCTACCCAATTTCACAAAATAACAAAATAAAAAAAAATACAAATGCAATAGCCACTTATTAATGGGGAAAAAAAAAAAGAAAAGTCATTACAATAACAAATTAAAACTACTTGAAACAAAGAGAAATAGCAATCACCAAAAGCTTTGATGCCATGATGGCTTGAAGAGTGAAAAAATAACATTATTTTTAGGATTGTAAAATACATATACATACAAATGTATAAAAGGGTTTAAAGCCCATGAAATATATCTAAAAATAAAGCCCAACCTTATAAGTCAACTAAACATAATATATATTTTAATAATTTTAATGTAATTTAAACTCATTAAAAATATATCTTATATAAGTTTTATGTTACTCAATTTTCTACTTAGGGCATGATTACAATATTATCTATTGATGCTCATATTGCATTTTTTTTTCATATTTTTTTTTTATTTTTAATTGATGCATTTTAGAATGCTATCATTTGAAATTTTAAAAAAAATTTTTTATTCAAACGCATTAGGATTAGACAATGACTTTAAAATTTTTAAAGTTGCCTAAATAATGGAACATGAAGTCTATCCAAACATCTACACCTTGTTGGAAGTTTAAAATTGGAAAGAAAAGCAATGGAAGATGACGATGACGACGATGATGATGATGTTGATTGAAAAACCCAACGACTGAAACAAGTAATTTGTTGAGAATGAATAAGGTTTACTGCAAAGGAAGCCTTTAATGGCTGATACAGGAGGAACTATGTATCATTAAAAGCGACTAGTGCATTCATATTGTCAAAGCCCTCACCAATCCAAATTTCAAATATAAAATTGACTCTCAAGTTTTTATTTGATGAAAATGGAAATGAGAACTATCCGCTTTGTGGGTTTTTCACTTGGTAAAAATTTTCAAAAATTGACATCCGTTTGTTTTTTAATTTCAACATTTACGATTTTTTTTTTTTTGTTTTCAGCAGTTTTATATTTTTAAATTAAAAAAATTAGGAAATGTTACTGTTAAAGGGCCCACCCGAGCAGATCCTAATAACATGGGGCATAGCTTCCTCTTTAAAACGCGAACGACTACAGACTTACTCGGCCCTCCATCTGGACTTCTACTTGAACGGGCCCTTCCCCTTTGTCATGCCACTGAGCCGTTTTGAACCCAACCCCAAAAACCACCGGCCTAAGCAGAGTCCACAATCCCCGCTATCGATACCAGAGATCGTCACGTATATATTTGTTGAGTCTAGATAGAACCGCACGCACCAAATTATTTTGCCCAAAGTCTCCTTCTTTCTTTCCAATTTTCTTCTCAATTTCGAATCTCCCGCTCTCTTTCCAACCCAAACACGATTATTTATTCTTTAACAGTTATGATTTCCCTATCCGATTACGAAATCGCCACCTTAGACTTTTAATCATTGCCCAAAAATTATTTTAAAAAAAACTATTCTTTTTATGCTAATTTTGACTATTGAGGAGATCTCTCTTCGTTTAAACCTTTAAATTTCGATGAGGGACAGACAGCAGAGCAGAGTCCTTCATGTGGTTTTGTTTGAAATTCGAGTGGTAAAGGGAGATGGGTTTCGCTATATCGGATGAATTGTTAGGAACTGTTGTTCCGATTGCCGTTTATTGGGTTTATTCAGGAATATATATGTGTTTAGGATCGTTTGAGAGTTATAGATTGCATTCAAAAACGGAAGAGGATGAGAAGAATTTGGTTTCCAAACAAACAGTCGTTAAAGGCGTTCTTTTGCAACAAACTCTCCAGGCTGTTGTCGTCATCCTTTTGTTCACGGTAAACCCTCCCAATGCAGCTGAAATATTTTATGATATTGATCATGTTTTAATTTGATTTTAGGAGAAACTGGTCGTTCTTGATGTTGGATTTCACTAAATTTTAGTTCTTTTTTTGGTTTATGGTAGAAAGTTCTTGTTTATTTATTGGATAAAAGTTGGGGTTTTTTTTTTTTTTTCTGGGTTTAGGCACCTATAACTTTACTTAGTTCTGATATAGAGGTTGGTCAAGGCTCAGGGGAACTTGTTTTATTATCTTGAATTTCCTTCCCTAGAGAAGCAGATTCTTACCCTTGGTTACTGTGCCGAAATGATAGCAAAAGTAAATGTGGAAATATACTTTGTTATGGATTGTGTTTGTGATCTTTGGTTTAATGTTAGACTTTAATTCAACACTGAGTACAACTATTTCATTCGTCAAAGTTCCTTTATTTTAGGAGGGGTTTCATAGGTTTTTTGATATGTTGTCACCTAAGGTGCTGTTCTATTTCTTGTGTTTCAGAACTGTTTTAGTTTTACATAATTTGTAGCTCGTCAGTTGTCAGTTTTAATTTCTTTTTTCTTTTCTTGTCTTTACTTCAATTTTAATTTGTTGTTAATTGAACCAAAAATTTCATGTCTTTGCCAGCATATATAATGTGCCGTATAAGCAATTTCAGTTGTGAAATTATGTCTATATTGTAGTTTTTTATTAAAAAAAATGCTTTGTGCAGGTCACAGGGAGTGATGCTGGGGCTTCTGCACTGCAACCATCTTCCTTTATTGTTCTAGCTGGACAGTTTGTTACAGCAATGCTCGTTGTGGATACTTGGCAATATTTTCTGCATAGATACTTGCACGAGAACAAGTTCTTATATCGGCACCTCCATTCTCAGCATCATCGTCTTGTTGTTCCCTATGCATTTGGAGCTTTGTACAATCATCCATTGGAGGGGCTTCTCGTTGACACATTAGGTGGGGCCTTATCATTTATCCTCTCTGGCATGTCTCCTCGAACTTCCATCTTTTTCTTCTCTTTTGCCACCATCAAAACAGTCGATGACCATTGTGGGCTGATGCTTCCTGGAAACCCCTTTCATCTTTTCTTTAGAAACAATTCGGCATATCATGATATCCACCATCAGCTTTATGGTGGCAAATACAACTTCTCACAACCATTCTTTGTCATGTGGGATAGAATTCTCGGAACATATATGCCTTATTCACTTGAGAAGAGAGCAGAAGGGGGCTTCGAAGCACGGCCAACTAAAGAGTTCAAAGATGATTAATAAGTAAACTGTGAGCATCCTTTTGTTTGTTGTTGCAGAAATGTACCACCAGTTTTTTTCTTCTCTTTTCCTTGTCAATGAACCTTGTGATTTGTATATACCTATACTCTTGTGCTCTACACTTCAAACTTATTTTTGTTTATAGAAGTAATAACGAGATCCATTAGTCATTTCCAATAATTTCTCAGGAACTGCTTCAGGTAGTCCTTATTCTAGGTAAAGGGCTTGGGCCTACCTACCAAAATGGATCATGCAGTTGTATTCAATAATTGGAGTTCGGGCTTTTCTTTTTAATCTTTGGATTACGACTGGAGATCAAACTCGAGATCTTCGGTTTAGGAGTTGACAGTGGACTCCAATATCACCGAGTTATAAACTTTTTGGTAGTCTTCCAGGATACCTATAGAGTGAGTTAGTGATGATGTGCCTGGAAGGGATTGTCTTGATGCTTAACTGTTAGCTAACAATGCCATTCTTAAGTGCTGCAAAAATTGTTCAAGCAAATTATTGGCTCATGACGCTAAGAAAGCCTATTTTTTAATAGGTAATGATGATTAAGTCCTTAATTCACTAATTGGAGCAGGTAATCCTCGATCTTCCATTTTGAAAATGATATAGTAACATGGAAATCCTTGTGTCGGCAGTGGAGTTAATGCCAAAGTCATTGGTTCATAACGCATTACAATTTTTATTTTGTTTGTTTGATTAGTTCAAGACGCAACAAAGGAAACCGGTTTCATGCGTGGAAAATTGAATAATTTGGATATCTGGTCCTCAAGAATCTACACCATGGGTTCAAAGATATTTCCATTGCTGGTTGGCAGTCGGCTTTAGCCCCCCTTTATTGGTCGTTTCACATCCAGTACTTGTAGAACTTCTATTGTATGAGTAATTTTTACCTTTTTTTTTTTTCTTTTGTGTGTCCAGAGAAAGTTTTCTCCAAACAAATGAATTAAATTCTACATGTTTAGGTTTATATCTTGTTGTAGTTTAGTTATCATTATCAAATTAACCATATAAATTCTCTTGTATAGTCAATGACAATGGTAATTACAGCCAAATAATGTAAAACTCCTTTCTAGGATTAGTCGATTACAGTTTTAAAAGAGATTATTGCCCACTGTCGGTCAAAATGTGAAGCATAGATGAGGGACCATTCTGTCCGTTTCACCTTTTCATTAAGAACCAACATACCTTTTATGTGTTTGGATGGCCAACAGATGTACGATTGTAGAGTGATTTGGTCCATTTCTTTCATAAAAATTCCCTTTTTTGGTCCATCAGCCTCATCCTCTTCCCCACATAAGAAGACTATTTATTTGAGCAGAAGCCTACCCTAATTTGAGTTTTAAATGCCATTCCCTTCAGAGTGGTCCAACTGAAAGTCACAGTTCTTATGACGAGATTTTCAGTGCAGTAGATGCCTAATCACTTCATACACATTCCCACAATCCGAATAATCTCACAGCAGACTTCTTGCTGTGCTGTCTTTTAAATTGTGACCACAAAATAAGTTTCTTTCAGCATTATGTTCTCCAGTCATATTTCTTGATCTGTTGCATTTATGTCACATCTACCTTTGCTTTTCCAATTCATTTCTTGATCTCCCTATGCACATGAATAACCCTTCTACTGTTATTCCTTGATGGTCCCTAGGGGCAATGACAGTGAAATTTTGGTTTCTTGGCATGATTTTTAATTCATCAAAGTCATTACTCATTACCTTGCTCTCATCATTGTCTCAGATGGACACTTTTTAAAGGAATTGCATTGTGTTTTCGCAGCTTTAGCCTATCATCTCATGTATACAAAGTAACTTCACTGCATTTGGTTTTAACTGTGATCAAACTAATGTCAACAGAAGGTTGCCAAGACTTCACCATCTAAAGCAATCCTTATGCTTGTTTATTCTTATTATTCATACTATTTAACTAAGGATTTTGGTTACAGCAGCAGGTATAATTTTTTTTTTTGTTCATTCCCTTTGATGGACACGACAGGAATCTTATGTGAATTTCTAGGAAAGTGAATGTGAATATTGTGGACCAAGGTGGCTGCCGAATTAATTACGCTCCTCCTTCACAGATAGCTGGGAGTGACAAATTGTGATTTTAATGTCTCATTCCTGCTTTGAAAGTTCACTGTTTCATAGCTGGAATCGAAGAGCTTATCCACTAAACCATATGTATGAATATAACAGCAATTAATTTGACAGCTTTTACTCTGATAAATTATAAGCTATGAAAAAGTTTCATTAGGGTTGTGAAGGATATTAAACATGAATAGAATGGAATCAAATAGAAGTTAAATTGTTTGCATTTTTCTCACTTTTGTGGTGGTAATCGAAGTACTTGTATAATTCAAGCTTAGAGCTCTCTTTTAATCTGCTGAGTCGGGTCCTCGCAGAAAATATCGACAAAAGCACAGGAGATCCAATTATTGAAAGTCCAGGTCATAGCACTTTATAATAAAGGTGGAAAGATTATTAGTTATGGTCTTGATCATTGATCTGATCTAGCTTTAAGAAAATTAGAGGAGCAAATAGGCTTGTAAGTCTCTAATTTTGCCATAGAAGTGAAGGGAAGCCAAAAGTAACTTGGAACTGCCAGGGCAAATGAGGAAAGCTCCATGGACCCATATATCTGGCTGCAATAACAGTTATCTTCACTCTCCAGAATCCATGCATTTCGAGTTCATATATGTATATTCATCTGGAAAATAAATGGCCCTGCGATTTTTTGGATTAACTTTCCAAATAATTAAGATCATTTTATGGAATTCAACGCTACTACGAACCACTATAGAGACACAGTAGTAAAATTTTTCATCACAAGTTGTACTAAAACATAACTAAAATAAACTCCAGCGCCAAGCTATCCCAAGCTACTGAATATACAAGAGATGTGAAGCTCCTAGCGAATGCGAGTGGGGAAGGGAACGAGTGGCAAGAATCCGTGGTGTTTGTGTAGGTTCAAAAGCACTGGCAAGTTTAGTCTCAGCTAGAAATCTTGTGGCAGGCATGTAGGAGTCAGACACACGGCGCATTCTTGGGTCAAAACCTGTCTTCTCATTTGTTATGTGTGCATCTCCAGCAACTTTAACAGCTTTCTGGCTATTACATCCCAAGAGACCACTGGAACGGCGACTCTGAAACTCTTTGTTGTTTTCAGTTTTGGCATTGGTGGTTGTCAAAAATGATTTTGTTGGACTTGATAAAGTTATTGATGGCCTTAGCTCCTCATAATCAGACATCACTGAGAAATCTGCTGCGCTCGCAGTGACCACACTCCATTCTATACTGGCCTCACTTGGTGCATAACAAGTTGTTGGGGTGACACAGCCAGATGCTGCATCAGATGCTCGTCTCGCAAGAAAGGAATTGGCTTTCCCTGTGAGGCTTTCTATCTCAAATAAGTCTGAACTTGCATCACTCTCTGTATCATTGTAGTTACCTTTCGAATTTTCAGTTTCTTGATCTACTTTTGGAGTTGCATCCCAAGATAACATTTTTAGCCTCCTGTGAAGGTTCAAAGACTTGTTTCTACGTTCAAATACAGGAGAGCCAAAAACCTCTAGTGATTTCCGTCCGATTTCATCTACCTCTCCTTGCAAAGGCACTTTAAGAGGCCGAATCCCCACAGTAGAATTCATAGTTGGGAAAGTGAAAAGGTCTTCCTTGATCCGGGGCTCTGCCGGTGGTTTATTGACCTGATCTAAACTGGCCTTACTGGCTGCAGCTGTTTTATTTTGCTTGCCTTTAACTACCTCCCCATTAGCAGGTCTCTTGAAACTTATTTCACCAACTTGTACTTCTTCAGTATCAACAGAATTCCTATCAGAACAATAGCATTTGCAACCAGCCAGACCAGAAAGAAAACTCTTTCCATTCACCTTACTAGGTTTTGCCCTCGGAGGATTTCTCGTAACACTCTGGAGTAATGCATTTTGGCTGTTCCAGCTTGATTCAGAACGAACACTAGGAGTTGCCTGATGCATTACAGGCTTGATTGGCTCTAGATTGACTCCTTCATCTTTCACACATTCGAGCTTCTTTGCATCTATTTTGGTTATTCTTGGACTATCCACGTCTATCCCTCCATTGAAGTATTTTTCAGCTCCAAATACCCCAATTTCTCCATCTTCTTCTTTCTTCCTTCCTGAATAACGATGTTCATCTTGGTTGGCGATCTTGTGGCTGAGGTCTAGGCTTGACTCTGAAAGCTTTCTCACATAGTTTTCCTCAGCACCGCCCAGTTGAGTAGAGAAAGAAGCATCACGAGGGCTGCTATTGCTTTTCTCAAAGGGCAATGTTTGTGAGAGGTTTGTGTGGTAACTTGATGTTAATGTTACGATCGCCATCTTCGATATTCAGACAGAATATTTGCTGCACAAAAACAAATGAAAGAGAGAAAATGACCCAAAAAAAACACAAACAAGATGCACAAAACTACAAAAAGAAAACGAAAAAGACCAAACCTGGGACTAGGAGAAGAATATACCAAGTACAAGTTTCCTCTGAAGACACCTAGAATCTTAGTTTGAGGGAGGCCCAAGATGCAATTAAAGCGACCAAGCCGAAACAAACACTAAAAAAGAAGGGACATACATACTACTTTTTATATGAAATCAAAGGCTGAAATTAGCTGAGAAAAGAAATTAATTAAAAAGAAGAGAGACTCGAGTTGAGAGGCTTCTTCCAGGCAGTTTGGCTCTCTGAGAAAATAGTCCTATCTGTAACAACTATAAGTAGGCTTAAAACATATAAAAGATGTTAAAAGGCGTAGGGCCATATGCTTGTGGGCTAACGTAAACTCAAGATTAAATTTCTCTATGAATTAATTGTTATATCCTAATTTCATATCGAAAATTTTTAAAATTTTATTATAATATATAAATTTAAATTTAAATTTACGAGATATTTTATGAGATAAAATAATAAAATTTTTAAATTAAAATAAAAAATATTTAATAAGTTAAATATGATTTTACATAAATAATATCATAATCAAAATTTCATCTTGAAACCTATAAATTATGGACAAATCAGGCCAACTAATTTAAACTTTGAATTAAATGAATACCTATTGAATAGTAAAAAATACACATATATTTATGGCTGCCAAAATGTAGGAACAGTGTTCTCTTTTTTTTTTTAATAGATTTTGTGAACATTTGTGGATACAAATATAAGCTTTAATTTTTGCTTGGATTTATATGTCGAATCATCCCGACATGTTGATCACATGAAGATTTTTAGTTTTGGCTAAGGACTTTGCCAAATTCAAATATCAAACCATGTCGGATATCATTTCATTTTAGGAAAATTTAATGGGTATGATTCTTACCTTTGTAATCAGTTTCAAAATTGTTATATTAAGTCTTAACTTTAATCATTTAGTAATTCAAAAAATGTGTGAAAAGTTCGAATCAATACACGATTCAAATTGAATACTTATGAGTGTCTAACTTTCATAAATTTTTTAATATTTTATTATATTAATAATGTTATAAATTATACGCAATCATAAATTTTATTTTTAAAATTACATTAAAAGAAATCAAAATTTTAATTTTAATAATTTCAATTATAAAAAAACACTTTTTTTCTAAAATAGTCTAAATGGAAAAAACCAAAAACCAATCCCAAACTTTGTTCCCATAACCAAAAATACAAAATGTTTAGAGATTCGGTAGAACGAATTATGAAGTCACGATACGAATACATATCACCCACAATATTTTTGCAATGTTTTTGCCTTTTACGTCCATCAGCATCGTTATGTCGGGAATAAGATAATTGATGGGTTAAAAGTCCTGATAAACAGTGACAAGGTAATAAAGTTTTAGACCACAAAGATAGCAATTTTTTTCTTTTTTCTTTTTTTAGACGAGCAAAATTTAAATGAGATTAAATTAATTCATTTGAAGATCAAGGTATATCACAGATTTCAAATTTTATATTAAGTTTATAAATAATTTATAAAAAAATTACCAACAACGAATGATGAAAATAAATTTAAATTTATAAGTGAAATATTCGATTTTACGATAATAAATTTTTGCTTTTTTAGTTTGGTACTTGGCAGGGATGGTAATTTGATGAGTTATAAGATAGAATCCAACTTGTTTCTGTCATATGTGCAAGAGAATTATATTGGAATTGAGTGAAGGAATTCAGCACGTACACATCGTATTTATGCTGAGTCCCTACAAATTCAATTCAGTGCTAACTAACTTTTCCCTTTCCTCACAATCGTCTTCATCATAAATATACGCTTAGTGCCCTTTTTGTTGCTTTCTGCATTTACGTTTGGTTGTGTCCACACAACATTTACCGCAAATGAAACCATACCCCCCCCCCCCCCTCCAATATCACTACACATCTCAACTAGTCAAATTCAGCCAATGCACCATTTCTATCTGAGTAGCAAAGTTATAATCTTCTCATCAAACCAACTAATAAAGTTCATACCAATTACCATCCATCTCCTGAGAGTCAAATGATAGCTCAGAAAGAAACTTGACGACTCATTGAGAGTCAGAATATGCATCAACTTTTTGAGCTAATATTATGCAACCAAACAATAATAATGCCTAAATTCAATAATCATACCTTTGTAGCTGTCTGTTCATAAATTAATACAAATGAGGATAGTCTAGTAGATATTTAATTTACTGGAATCGTGTAACTGGCCTCCTTAGACCGAACCAATCTTGCAGCCAAAATTTTCAGGCAGGGAAGTAATCGATTGATGTCACAAACTTAGTGTAACAGAGAGCATTGCCAGGCTTAGTTCATGCCAAGGTTTCAAGTTTGCACTCCTCTGCCGCTCACTGCGTGGATGTTGTGTTTCCACCTACAACCCAATATTGCTTAACAGCAACCAATATCTTCTCAGGAACTAAAGGACCATCTTCATGGTCAACCATCTTAGTGTCCCATCTCATTCCTGCTGTTATCTTCTTCACTTTAATTAGAACATCAACTTCATCACGGAATATTATCGCACCTTCTGGACGCAAAATTCGGTCCATCTCCAATAAAATGTCTTCCAGATTACATCTGCAAACATTCAATTAAATATATGAAGTTCTACAGATAAGAAATAGAATGCCAAAAAGCTCTAACAATGGTGTGCTCAGACCAAAGAACAGGTAATTAGTGAATTTCATGTTGGTGAATTTATTAAACCCTTGAGAATGCTGATGCATCATTTATTAAACCCTTGAGAATGGTAATGATAAAGATATTTCTAGCTTTTGCTAAAAAAAGGATATTTAGCATTTAGACAAGTATCTTTGAAAAAAAAAATACATAAAACAACTGCACCACAAGTTACTCTAAAAACTTTTATACTAGCTGATATAGGTATTAAATTGCTATATCAGAAAAGACCAGAGTGTAGGTGTAGCTGTTTGCATGCAAAAATAGGAGTTTTACGTTAAGAAATAAGTAGTTGCACACCAAATGTGACAATTACAATAAAATGCAGTTAAATAGAGCAGGAGCATGAGAACTAAACTCATGTTTTATTTGCAGAGAATAAACAAAGTTCACACATGGTATAACAAATCATGCATCTGAAAGTAAACTTGAACCCATAATTACTGACAAGTGAAAAGAACAAGTACTAGTAAAAAGAACATGAATTGTACATATATTAGACTGCTCAAAAGTAATAGCATGCACATTTAACCATGGATACTTACTTGTCCTTGTACAGACTGAAAAGAACATTGGCATGAATGAGATCATATGTCCTTGGATATGTGGAGAAAGCCTCACACCTGAACCAGCAAAAGACAAGAAAAAGAACAAGTTCAATAATATATGCCAACATATTAAGCTAGTTTCTTATCTAACTTAAATTGTTTCTTTTCTCTGTTCTCTCCCATGTTTCGAAAATATAAATATATATATGCAACTTAACTTCATTTTTTTCATCTCTCTTTCTCTCTTTACCTAAAAACTTTCTCATAGCTGAAAGAATATTGTCTACATTTCAAATATTAAAGATAGACAGACAAAATCATTTATTAATTTTCAAAGCATCAAAAGATGAGTAAGAACTAAGCAAGAACCATAGAAAATAGCATAACATAGCCAGGCAAATCACTAAGCAGAGCAGTCTGTTTCTGGCAAGTAGATAAAGTCTACAATATGATAATAAGATATTCTTTTAGTTTCATCTTTATAGCCTATAGGGAACTCCAGATATTAGAAGTCCTACAAACTATGGATTTATCTCAATCATTATTAAGGGTTGTAAGAGGCACTTAATTTGTTTGTTGCTTTGATATTAGGAAAGAATTTAACAGACATTATAGAGCCATTAAAAGGGAAGTTAAAAGGAAGTGTCGCAAAACCAATATTAGCATATTCACAGTAGTATAACCAAAAAAAACACTTCAGAACAGCACCAACTACAAATAAAGCCGAAAGTTTAGTAAGCCATACCAGTCATGATAGATGCCAATTAATCCTCGCTCATATATGACACCCAGGGTGTCTTTCTCTGCTATGGTGGGCATGACATTCATAACCCATAATTTGGGAGAGTCAAGGGCTGCAGCAAATCCTCCCAACCCAGCATTCATATCCAAAATATTGCGATACCTCCCAGAGTCAATAAGTCTATTCATTTTGTTATAAGCACTTACATGCTTCTTCCACTTATGGTTGTCCTCTTGGTATGTCTCAACAGAAACCCCAGGAACACTTCCACTAGCAATTCTAGGAGGGATTGCATATAGCCTCTCAGGGAATGGCTTCAGTTCTCCACCAGCAATTTCATCAGCACTACTAACTTCTGGATATGGAGTAATGCATGCATCCATTTTCTTGTACCTAGCAACCACCAGAAGAGATGATGAATAAATAAAATGAAATTTAAGATCTAAAATTAATTAAATTACTGTAATCCAGCTTTATGCTCAAGCGACATAAAATGTAAAAATATATCTGAAATTGGTTTAAAAACCCCGAATGAAATGCAAGATAGTAACCCTGAAACTTATAGGTTTCAGATTCCACGCATGCATCAAAGGATTGCTTAAGAACAGAAGACGAGAATCAGTGCAGTTAGTTTATAAGGCTTAATGAAATTGCTAAACTACTAGACCTGAAAATATAGGCTCCACTGATGATACATGCAATGCAGGTTCCAACTTTTAATGTTTGCATGGTTAAGGCATTTCTATTACAATTGACAAGAATAACTATCATATGCATGAACTGGTTTGAAGCTAATCCACACCCAAGCTTCACATGCTTCCAGGGCAGATGCAAACTTCACTGCATTTTTACTAATTCCAGATGTTTTCCTGCTAGTCACTTAATAAGGACATAAAATATTGTTTCCATTGCAAACTGTAAGATATAAAGATTGCAGGCACAGCTCATACCAGACATCATTAGCCTCTCCAGCTTTGCAGAAACTAGCTTGAGAATCATCTTGTCTACGATGACAAGAATCATCATTGACTCTCTTTTGCCAAATGGCAATTTCACCCTTCTCATGTTTCTTCTCCCAGCAAAGAAGTTTGGCAGTGTCCTCAATCTTTTGTTGTTCCTCCTCAAGTTCCTCCTTGGGACGCTGCCATGATTTATAACTGTTCCTCCAATTGATTGGTGGACCTGAAAGTACCCAGTAGCCACCAGGTCTAAGAACACGATCAACCTCCTTCAAGTATATTCCATCTGCAAATAGGCAAATCAATAATGATGCATCAATCACTGAACTTCTTCTACAAAGAATCTTCGCTAAAAGAATGCCGAATCAGAGAAAATCTACTTAGAGTACCAAAATATTTTGTGCTTAAATATAGGAAACACTATTTCAATATATGACTCACCATTTGCTCCCCATGGAATCAAGCATCGCGAACAGTGAGCCATATCGAAAGCTCTAGATGGATATGGCATCTTTATGGTCCCAAGAACACCAATAACAGCAGGTACACCTCTTTCAAGAGCAAATTGAACCTGTGCTTCATGTGAATCTCTAGGTGCAAACGACATGGCAATAACATTTCTACTCCAAAGGTATGCACCCAAACTTGCAACCTATACAAAATAACCAATTGTGAGATTCAGTACCTTCATGGATCATAAAGATACACATTCCGCCAGTACAAATAAACAGATCAACTGAAAAACTTTCAATAGCATAACATACCCCACAACCGGTATCAAGTGCAGTCCTAACCGTCCCATTAGTAATTGGTATCACGGAAGCAAGCTGATCAATATACTTTTCCGCCCCTTGTGGAAACTGCGTTCCTCCACCAGGGAACCTAAACACATTACCCTCATATTGGATCCAATTCTGAATAGCCTTCTCAACCGTCAAGGCCTTATACGGGGCATTAGCATAAGGTACATAATCCCGACTCTTAGGCCAAGGAAACGGGGTCACATATCCTTTAGGCGCAGGAACAAGACAATGCAACTTCTCTTCCTCTATCGGACAATGTCTCTCACGATAAATCATGTTGTTCCTAGGGAAAGTCATGGCACGCTTTTGATCTTGACAAGGCGTGTAATCAACGTAACGAGGAGGACATGGGTCGAAAGATTTGGGCTTTTCGGATTCATCCACGTTCCCAACTTCACCGGCGTGATGGGTTTCGAAGTTTAAGGTTGGGACGATGTTGCAATCCGCACCATGTTTAGTCATTTCTAAAGCTATACTATCACCCTTTCCAAAACCACTTCTTTGCCATGCTCCTAATATGTAGAAAAAACAACACAATCCAAAAACAATAAATATTTGAATTGAACTCCTAGTTCTACCCTCAGCTGAATTCGGTTTCAGTGCCATTTTCAAATAATAACCTGCAATTAACAAATTCCAACATTTAGGTCAATTAAAATATGAAAGAGAGTAAAATGTTAAGGATCTAATTATCAGAAACAAAGATCAGTTGATTTAACCTTAATTTTACTCAACTAGCTAAGAGCTCATTTTAGTAAATTCCTTCAAAAAAATCACAAAAAATGAAATCATTATAATTCAAAAGAAAAGTAATGTCAGATGACTTACCAATCGCATCAATAGACGAAATCAGTGGTTCAAGATGTCAAAATTTAAAAAAAAAAAAATCAATTTTGATTTTTTTTTAATGATGATAAGAGAAGTGGAGATTTTCAGAGCTTCGAAGAGAAGAAGACGTGTCAATAAGACACTGAAAAAGTGAAAACCCTAAGCTCTTTCAGTTATAGCATCATGGAAGAAGAAGAAGAACGAGCGAACGGAACGGGCAAAACAAAAACAGAAAAAAAAAAAAAAAATTGAAGCGCAAAAAATTTGTGCTCTATGACGTCCCTTTATCAACGGGGATTGCGATAAAAGCTTCTAAAATTTCGAAAACGCACGTCTTTCTCTTCTTTGTATGTCGTATCGGAATTTTGGTTGATTTTTTTTTATTTTAAATCTGGCTTATATTCTTCTTCGTCTTTTTTATTAAAACGACTCCGCGTTTTGTATAAACAGTCTTAAAACGGGGTGCATAGTGCGCATTGGGCAGGCAGGGTGGGGAACCACGCGCCAAGAAAGGTAAGGAATTGACTGAAATTTTTTGTGGGCCCCCAGGAAGAGGAAGATCTAAGATCTACGTTCAAATCGGCGCTGATTGATGATGATTATAATCAAAGTCGGACAGCAGCTTTGGACCGTCGGTGCTCTAGTAAAATGCATTAGACGGTGTGGATCTAAAAGATCAAAAAACATCGTGGCGACAGTTCAATCGCGACAGAAGTGCGACAAGACATCGTTGCGAACAATGGGAAGCTTGGGAACTGGTTTGGTTTGTCAAAGGCTTAAATTTAGGCAAAGATTTGAAGTAACTAAATGGTCGGGAAGTGGGGAAGATGATTTTAGTTGATTTCAAGCTGTTTTTTTTTTTTTAAGAACTGAGAAATTATATTATCGTGTGTATTTTATATTAAATATAATTTTAAATATAATATTAATAATTTTGATAAAAATATTTAAATAATATAAATAATTAAAACAAAAATATAACATATTTATTGTAAAATGTTACAAAAAATATAATTAATATACTTAAAATTAATTTATTTAACACGAATAAATAATATGATATAATTAATATGACTAGACACAAACAATATGATTAAATACGATTAATTTATTTATTTAAAAAAATATATTATTTATATTAGTATTTAAATAAAAAATTATTTAAAAATTAAATATTTATAATCATTTTAAACACTAAAATAATATAATAAATATGATTATTAATTTAATTAAAAATAAATTAAAATAATTTTTATAATTTGTATGTTATATATACTTATATTAATAATATTGTATCTTAAGCATTCGTTATTATATGACACAAATATAACATAAATAATATTATGTCTTAATTATATTAATACGATTAAGACATGAAACATGATTACTTTAAATCTATATATAATTTTTTATATTATTTTTATATCATATCATTATATTATATTTAAATTATGATATTTATTTTTTTAAGCTTTTTGGCCTTAGAGATTAACTGTTTATTAATACATGACATGTAATTGGATTTGTTTGGGACATTCACATTGCAAAAATAAGGTTTTGGGACATTTACAACACTATGGTTGGACCACCGACACAATTGCCATCTTATATGAGTTTACAATTTTTTGGATTTTCAGAGTAATGTTTTCATTTCTTCATCTCTCGCTATAAATGTTTATTTATGAACCAATTTATTTCTAAATAGTGAAACAAAAAAAAAAGGATTGAGATGAGTTTCTAAACCATATATAAGTTTTTGGCACTGAACCTATATCTTTTAAAACCAATCATACATCAAAGGAGCATCAAGAGTTAAGCTAATTGCTTATTGTAATTGGATTTCATTTTCTACAAATAAATAAATAAACAATGATATTGGATTCACTTCTTTTAATCGATAGTTATGTTGTTTTTCATGATAAAGAAATTTCAAATCTAAAAATGCATCATTCTTTAATTTTCGTAAAAAAAAAAGAAACATTTATGAAGCTTACGGTTATGAGGTTATGGCAATGTTTTTTATATTTTAATTAATACAACTTCACTTCAATGCCCAAAATATATATATATATATAATTTCCCCTCTAAATTAGAAGGATTTTTTTTTTCATTTTTGCTAAACAGATATGTTATAAGAGAGAGAATTAAAATACGACTATAAATATATTTATTTATATTAAAGCAAATGCTTAAGTATCATACTTAATATTAATTTTATTATAACTCAAAAAAAAATCTCCAATATCTTTGTTAAATATATAAACAGATAAAAATTGAATTTTTTTTTTTTTATAAATTTTGATTTGAATCTTGCTAATAAGTTTTCTCATAAATTTTGATCTCAATAATTTTATTTTAGGATTGGAACATAAACCTTTTAAGATAAATTATAATGTTTTATGTATTATGTAGTACTATTACTTTTTAATATGAGATCATACCAAACTTTAGAGCACCGACATAACCAATATTTCGGTCTCACTAACACAACTTCATAGATAAGAATTACTACTATTTTATATTTATATATAACAATGCAATCATAAAATATTAATTTAATACTTCTTTGAATCCTAACCTGATTTTCTATATTATTGAATAAAATCCAATTAATTCATAGATCACCTCGACTTATATTTATTTATAAAATGAGAAAGAAAATTATAAAAAAAAAAAATTCCGTTTGGTAGGTAGAAAGGCAATAGGGAAGAGCCGCCAATTCCATAAAAATTTATTCAAAATTTGAAAGAATTTGAATAAAAATTTAAAATTTATTAAATAAATTTAAATATAATTTTTAAATTTTAAATAGGATCTTAAAAAAAATTAAAACTTAAACTCAATTAGTTCGAATTCATATATATAAATTTTTTATTTATATATATATAAATTAAATATAATCCTATTAAATTTAATTTAATCACATTTTTTTAATTTTCATAATATAAAATAAGTTTATTGGGTGAGTTTAATATTTATTTTTTAATTTAAATTAAATTTAAAACAAATTTTAAATTTTAAATCAAATCAAATTTAAATAAATATATAAATTATTAATATCAAATATGAACCGCACAAATCCAACCCATACATGAACACTTATAGTTTATTGATATAAAAAATCAACTCTATTATTTTATTGCATCCACGTTCAAGATTTGGCCCCATCACGTTGAAAATTCTAGCTTGCAATGTTGCTTACATGATGTTAGAATGGTAGGTTTATATATATATATATATATATATATGAGATAAATAAGAAACAAATGATTCCAATGGAACTATAAATGGCAGTGCAATTTGTTATTTCCATCCCAAGTGAAAGAAAAACTAACGAAAAAACTACTCAAATTAGCTAATTAATACTAGCACTAGTATTTAAGACGAAGGCACTTGACTTTACTCTCAATTTTTCTTCCAAGTCCTAAAGTTATTTTGTTTAAATTTTAGTGCGAATATAAAGGTACAAAATCCATATCTGGAAAGTGGCTAGCCAGTATTATGATTGGTGGCATTCAAATGACTTATGTGTTCTTCACGTGAAAAGCCTCCAGATTTCATGTGCATTCTGGATATATTCAAACCGACAGCCATGTATCCATGAAACCATCACTCTCTTTTTTTCACTAAATTAAAAAAAAAAATTGATTTTATGATAATTAATTAATTTCCACTTTCTTCATCCTTTGGTAACAAGGGAAATTGCCTTATCATTTACATGCAATGCAATCAACAATAAGATATTTCATTTGGGTTTAATTTAATATTCGAAATTTATTTGTATTAATGTATTTGGAATTTTATTTTTAAAATATTTTTCACAAATATTAAACCTTAATCGACAAAGAAAAAAAGTTTTTCTTTACAATTTGAATTAATTTTCGTGGACCAGCAAGTACTATGATATTAATTAACTTGAGATTAAGTGTTAAAAAAATAAAATTATGACTTCTATAGTATTAGAAATCAAGTATTGCTTTTTCATTTTATTAAAAAAAAAAATTTGTCCATAACATCTTCAACGATTAATGGGAAACAAATGGTGCTGTAGAGGCGGTAGAGCTATGGAAGATTAGAAGTGAAGCTCTGTGTACCAAATCATAATTTAGGAAACTCAGGGGCTTATTTTACAATTTTCTCCTTTTCTAATCTTGTAAGTTACAATAACCTGTTAAACGGAACCAATAGCCTTATCCGCTACTTTGCAAGAGTTCACCTGATTTCTGCGCCTCTGCTTGAAATCCTAAACTCAATCAAAACAAAGAATGGTTGCGACGTTGATTACGAGTGTAGCTCAATGCTTTCTCTCTGTTTCGCCCAAAACCTTAGCCAAACAAACTCGCGCAGCCATTCTTCTCAACAAACCAAACCCTCTTTCATTAAGGTTCCCTAAAGCTACGAGGTTAACTCCGCTTCCTCGGAGAAGACTGCTTCCACTTTGCTTCTTCAATGCTGGAAAAGACAATCCCAATGTCCAAGACAAGGTAAAATATTGGTTCCCAAATCTTTTTACTACTTGCCCGAAACTTGTAAAACTATAATTTTGCTTTTCTTGAATCCCAGGAAGAGCCTGAATTGGAGTGGCCAATACTCAAGCGATGGGAGGTTCCCTGGGAATGGCAAACAGTTTCATTAACTTCACTTGCCTGTGGATTAGGGTGGGTTTCATTTTGGGTTATTATTTATAAATGGTTTGTCTGGCTTATTTGGTTGAGAATGAAATTGAAATTTCCCAGGCAGTTTTATTTTGACAGGATTGATAGAGACAGCAGCTATACCTTATCTAGGACTTCATATTGAAGAACTAAGTTTGGACGAGAAGGCTGAGATACTATTTGTGGATCAAAGGTATGCATCACTATCCTTATATGTTAGCATCATTGCATTGAAGTTCTAATTATAGATGGATCCAAAAATATTTTGAAATTAATAGTTACTGGAATCTCCAGTTTAATTTTGCCAAGTAGGCAACTGCTGATTATTTAAATTGTGTTCTAAGTGCCAGTCTTTGCTGGATTTTACAAATAAGCTATGCTGAAACTTAGATTCTCCTCATAGAACAAATGTGTAGAACTTACTTTATTAATTTTTACTTTTTTGGTTTCTGACTTTCTGTCACGATGTAGGTACAGATTATATTGTATGCAGATTTTCTTTCAGTGGTTTTTGAGTATGAGCCCCTGGAATTACATTGTGGGGCTTATTTTTAAGGTAAAATTGGGTCTAATTCTTGTTTGTTATTGTTTTGGCAGCATTACAACTATAGTTGTACTTGGAGTTTTGTATGGTATAGCCAACACCTTTCAACCCCTTCCTGAAGACCTATTTCGTTATGGTATCCATCATGCAAAACCTCTTAATTGCTTTAATCCTTTATGCACCTAATCAAAATTTTGTGTTATTTAGTTAGGCTTCATTGAGAATTGGCATTCTCTCATTCTTTTAGTCTTTTAGGTTACATGTGCATTTACATGAAGGCTGATGTTTTTTGAATGTTTCGATGTTAAAATTGAAAATTTTATCTTGATGCAAATTGTAGATTTAAAAATGAAAAATCTAAAGCCAAACTTGACTGATAATGTCTGAATTCTGTATCCAGATTTTCAATCTGATATTGTGTTATACTTTTTCAGATTTGAGGGATCCTTTCAATCTAAAGAAAGGATGGCTCCTGTGGGCAGTGATTGGTCTTGTTGCTGCTATTGTTGCTATTGCTTTAACAGGGCCTGCTATGTCCTTGTTTCGTGGTGAGGACACGCAAAGAGAGGTTAGAAATAATTTGGAACTATTTGTTATTAACAAACGATAATCAAGTGGACTCCAACTTGTGTTTGCTTTGATTTTTAAATTTCGGAGAATGAGCCAGCTGACCTTGCACTCTGTGGACTTTAAAGTGGTTACTATCTTGTTAGAGCTGCAATCACAGTTAACTTATGTGCTTTCTGGCATGTATGAATTCTTTATTGACTTCTAGAGCTCTTTTTTCAGACTGATGCTCTAGTTCGCTTGCTTCCATTAATTGGATCCTCAAGTATCAGGTACTTACATAGGAGTTAAAATTGGTTAGAATGATATGTAGCTTATAAGTTCTGAGTATCATGCTTTTCGCTATAAGTGGAATTCAAGTTGAATTGATCATGTTGATATCTATTGTAGCACTGCTTGCTTGGTGGGCATTACAGGTGTTCTGGCTCCACTTCTTGAGGAGACACTGTTTCGAGGGTTTTTTATGACATCCCTGACAAAGTGGTACTTTTACTTATCTGTGTCTTAATAGATTATATGAAGCTCTTTTGGTTGTGTTGCCATAATGAAACATGTGAACATGGTCAACTATCCTAATTCTAACATTCTTTTTTTTTTTGTGTTGAGAATGGACAAATTTTTGAAAACTTAAAGCATTTTCTTTGTCCAGAAAACTCATATATCCTCACATTCAAAGATGCAATTCACCCTGTAAAACAAATTGCTGATACAGAAATCAGTTATTAGAAAATAGATGATAACGGAAAATATAATTAGGGGTAGCTAGTGGAAGCACAGGAAGTGATTTTATGATGAATTCATGACTGAACATATATATAAAAAACAGGGGGTTATTTGCTGAACAAATAGATTGCCTGGCACATTTTATGACATAAACTGCATCTTGTTAAGAATTGCTGTACTAATATATAAGAATAGTATAACAGGTATGCAACCAAAAGGGATGAAACATAGATGAATACAATAGAAATGAATGTATTGATTAAAACTCTGAAGTTGCAGCCTTTGCAAATCCGGAAAGTAAATAGAACTATGATATTATTTTATGATTCACGAAGAGAAATGGCTTCAGTAATAAGCATAATATGGCCCCAATTTGTGGCTTTATAAAGGCCAGGGGAACTCGGGAAAAAGGTGGATTGAGAAAGTGAGAAAGAAATGTCAATTACCAAAGGGTAGATGTGGCCATTTAAAGGATTTGTAGAATTAAATCTAAATAGTCTGAAAAAAGGGCTTCATTAAGCATATCAGAGTTGTTAATCTCAAGATAATGAGCTGTCTATACGTTAATTTTCTAAGTGCTATTCATTCTTTAGTTCCCCCTTTTCTTTGCAAATACTGTTCTATCTTTTTTCTTCTTGCTTGAAAGTTTTGTTTATAAAATGATATTTTTGAATTGGTTTATTGCATTGGAGACTTAGTATTTAAGCTTGTTATAGATTCTCATTTAATTCACAAGTTGGTTTAACGTTTTCCCAAATTCTGTGTTCAGGGTTCCTACACCAGTTTCTGTAATTATCAGTGCCGCTGTATTTGCACTTGCACATCTCACTCCTGGAGAGTTTCCCCAGCTATTTGTGCTAGGTAATATATGACACTGTAAACTACTAGGTGGAGGATTTGTTAAAAACAATTATCATTTGAGTTAACCCTTTACAATCGCATTCAAACATCACAATCCATAAAGATATATCTGAATATCAAATTATGTAGATTTTTCAGTGGACATCACATATCTAGTTGAACCTGACAGACTTCACGGTCTATGTAGGGACTGCTTTGGGATTTTCATATGCTCAAACTCGCAATCTGGTGACTCCTATCACAATCCACGCTTTCTGGAACTCTGGAGTGATTTTGCTTCTTACGTTTCTTCAGGTAACCACGGATTATAAATTGCTTGGTGACCTTGATTTTGACTTGGTATCCTTGAATGCCGCAGGCAAATGTAGATTCATGAAACTAATTTATCTCCTGGTTTTGTGCGTGTGCAGTTGCAAGGGTATGATATCAAGGAATTGTTACAGGCAACCTGATTAAGTTCAGAAGTTTCCTTCCTGTTGATCTGATGAGTTTTTCTACCTGCTGATGGCATGGATAATGGAGCTTTCTGCCGGTTTGCTTGTTATATGGCAGTCTGTATACTTCAAAATTTGATTTTTAGCGTCAGTGTAATAAATCAGCCAAAGCGGCACAAGTTGAAATCATATGCATGTGTAAAGTTGATCAGTTAACTTGCAAGCAAAAGAATAGTATGAGCTTAGATTCTTCAGCAGAACTGCACGCATTTTAGAACCGTAGAGAATTGTCTAACTTTGACAAAGACGAGCTTATGGAGCCTATAAAATGCAGGTTAATTTGCTCAGACAAGCTCAGACATTGCATCAAGAAATTGAATGATGGTGATTTGGACTCTTAACATTAGTGCGATACAAACTTCCATCTTTGAGCAAAACTCGTAATTTTTTGATAGAACCGTAAGGTGAAGATCAATAATTTGCTTACATTCACAGCAACATCTGACTAAGATGTCTTAGAAACCAAGATAAGCCATTTCGTTAGGACAAGATACAGCTCACGTGCTACCTACTTTGATCTTTGGAATGCTTTCATGTAATAATAGATCATTTATCTTTATCCCTATTTCTTCTTCAACTACTCATTTTAGTTTCTTTCTACCATTCTGTTTTTCTGATTTTTAACAATCTCAAGGACAAGTCGATGGGAGATTTGAAATGGGCCAAAACAATGATAAAATGACTTCAAAGATAAGGGCAAAAGCAAGCTAATAGTAGAACTGCCTAGTTGAATAACGAATATTGCAAAGTCAAGGCTTGGGATTGGATTCTTCTTCAATGGAAAAATGGGCTCCAAGAAGATTGATAAATGAACTTCATAAAGAGAAAAGAAAACCCATTTAGATTGGATTTGGATTTGATGAACAAGAAAAGCAATTGGATTTGAATTGTTTTTTTGAACAAAAGTGGGCTTTCCACTTACACGATTGTAATTAAGTGGGGTTAATGTTTCACGTAGAAAGAGGCATAGAAGCCTGGGTTTGAAGAGTTTGACTCAATATTTTAAAAAATAAGTTATGGTTGGGATGCAAGCCCTAGGTCAAGGAACAGACAAAATGGGTTCCAACCGAGGGCTAGATATGGGGAGTTTCACTGAATTTGGAGTCCCAAGTTTGGCGTTTTACTCAGTGAACTCAACCCCATTAAATTCTTGGTACTAAACTTGTCAGCCAATTAGTAGACAATTTTTTACAAAGTTCTTAAGTACGAGAAAATTGGATTCCAAGCTCGGATTCTACAGGCAAACTTGATTTTAGTTTTCACTTAATCGCCATTACCAAAAAGAAACAATATTGAGGAATTCTATAGTGCTTGGTTTTCCAAAGCCCGCACGATCAAAGGAGATTTGAGTAATTAAAATTGACTTTTGCCCCTCAAAACATATAGACTTCATTCAGCTTGTATATTTATTTAACATAAACCATGCATGTAAATTGTATTGTATTAGAGATAATAATGATGCAGTATGTCTATCAGCTAAAACAATGTTCATTTGGTTCTACAATAATCCTCGTATCTTCTTTTCCAAGGAAGTTCGAGGGTCTGGATTCAAGTTTTGCTTAGTCGCTATATCAATACATTAAATCTTTTATTCTCAAGTAATTGAAAAAAAAAATGTGACATTCTTATTGATATGTGCTATCATGTATACAACGTACCTTGTTTTTTCATTAAAAAATTACAAGGCTTATGCCTATAGGCTTGATGAACCGCTAAATCTAATCAAGTAGAAAGCCTTGATGAGAAGGCACAAGGTAATTTTTCATCTAAGACATAATTTTCTTTTTCTTTTTTGATTACCCTTCAGAAATTATCTGCTTTTTTTAAAAGATTTATTAGAATATTCCGAATACATATTAAAATGGTATATCCAAGCTGCTCACAAATCTTAAAATTAAGTATGATCACAGAATAATAAAGGTGAATTGTTAAAAGCCTTTCGTCTTAATTTGCCCTACAGCTATAGGATCCAGAAAGTCAAATGCTTTGGGTTTTAGGGGTTTGAATTTTCTAACTCTGAAAGATAGGTGAGCTTTTCACAAAATTGGTCAACAGAGATGCACCCTTTAGTTTATGTTCCTAGTTAGGGGAAGTGGTCCCAACTAATTTCAGCATTTAACTTGATTAATTTTATATATACAAAATACTAAATCTGACAAAGTCAGTGGAATAGAAGCTCTGGGAATGGAATAGAAACTGAATTTTCGGATTCTGAGAAAAACTGAATATCATTAGATTAATCTTAAACACTGGCATAGGAATTTGACAGCACTTGAATATATATATTTATATATTTCAGCTTTGTGTATCGGGAGTTGGTTCGGGTCCATGTTTCCTTATAATAATTCAAACCAAAGACCATTAAAATATCTGTCATTTTGGGATTTCTTTTGTCTTGACTTGAAATTGAAAGGATAGGCAGGAAATATCATGGGATTTTGCACTGAAAATTGCAAGTTTTTAGTGATGTTATCATATCCCCAGATGTTGCTGATTTTGTAGCTTCCTTGAGATTCTTCCATTTGGATTAAACAAACCCTTGAATTGGTTAAAGTACAAGTAAGAGTCTCTTGTGCAAAATCCATTTTCTTGACTTGGGTTTAATTTCTTGGTAGTTGTTCTTATTTTCATTTTAAGAATAAGCCTTCGCCATTCGGTTCATTGGCGAGCCAACGCGATCCTCGCAAAACACACCACACTCCTTTTAAAAGTCACCAGAAAAGGTGGCTGATCCTTCGGGGGCAGACCCCTTCTCAGGAAGCATATATTGGGTTCAAATTAAGTGAGACTTAACTCTCAACTTGGTGTCTTTGAGTTCAATATCTTTTTTAAAGTTTGCTTGTTTCTTAGGGTTTGCTTCATTGTCAAGCTGTTCTTGTGTCAGGAAGTTTCTTGCTCTTCAGTTTTCCTCTAGGGTTTTTAACATAGTTCCTCAGAAACTTTTCATCTATTGCTTTTGGATTCAACTTTCAGTCTGAAGAAAGAAAAAAAAAGGAATAAAGAAAGAAAAGGAAAGCTTGGATCTCTTTCCATATAAAGGGAAGTAGTGAAAAGAATGGATGAGAGAAGTGATACTGATAAAATGGAAGAAATCTTGCTTCCAGGATTCAGGTTTCATCCAACTGATGAAGAGCTTGTTGGGTTTTATCTCAAAAGAAAGATTCAACAACGGCCTCTCTCAATAGAGTTGATTAAGCAACTTGACATCTATAAATATGATCCATGGGATCTTCCAAGTAAGTTAATCCTATATATATACATGCATATGTTTTAGTTTTTGATTAAAACTCTTTCGTAAAATGGAAACTAACAGTTATTGTTTGTTTTTCTATGAAGAGCTGGCGACCACGGGAGAGAAAGAGTGGTATTTCTACTGTCCTAGGGACAGAAAATACAGAAATAGTGCAAGGCCTAATCGAGTAACTGGAGCAGGATTTTGGAAAGCCACAGGAACTGACCGCCCCATATATTCCTCGGAAGGCACTAAGTGCATTGGCTTGAAGAAATCTCTTGTTTTCTACAAAGGTAGAGCAGCCAAAGGGGTGAAAACTGACTGGATGATGCATGAGTTTAGGTTACCTTCTCTCACTGACTCCGCACCACCAAAGAGATTCTTGGACAAAAGCCTTCCTGCCAATGTAAAGAATCTAAACAGAAACCACTTCTTTCAAACACTTCTGGCCTCCTTTACGACTGTAATTTATCATCTTTCTTTGAAAACTTGCAGGATTCTTGGGCGATATGCAGGATATTCAAGAAAACCAGCTCCACAGCTCAAAGAGCTCTTTCTCACTCGTGGGTTTCTCCAATACCTGAAACATCATCAATGTATGATATGCCTAGTAGAGGTTCAAACAGTTCTCAACTTTCTTCTAAAAACATACCCCTGACAGCAAAAACCAGTTCATCACCAGTCCAGTTTAACCATAAAGCTGACCTACTACAGACATCTACTGCTGCATTTTCTCCTTTAGACTTTGTTTCTTACAAGCCCATCACCCAGATGGCTGCAGAGAAGCCTCCTCAACTTCCCATGTCTACCATGTCTAATGGAGACCTAACTAGCCTTATTTTTGCACCTCTTAATCAAATCTCATCACCTGCAAAATCCGCAGTTGATGTTACTTCTATGTTGCTAAACATGTCATCTTCCATGCTTGGAAATTACAGTAAGGCCTCTGATAGTGTACATTTTGGTGGCGGATCACAATATCATTGCAATGGCTTCTCAGGGACATTGCCCCCTGAGATGCAAGGGAACATGATCAATAATGGAGATCATGAAAATTTCCTATTTAAAAGCCTGAATGTGACCCATGTTGATGATCAGTGGGATGCTGTTCGATCCATTGGATTTCCCTTCAGTTTGCCTTTGCCTATGAGTATGGGAGATGCTTGGAAGCCAAGCATGCCTTGGGATTCTTCAAGTCCTAGTGAGATGTCAACAAGTTTTTCCTCGACCAAGTGTTATACTTGATGTAATTGATATACTGTGAAAAACCTTTCCCAGTTTAGAAATTAGGCAGCAAGTTCTCGTTAGGAAAAATATGCTGTTTTTTTTATTAACATGTAGAATCCTTTTGTAGGCATATTAAATGATTTCATTATTTTGAGAAAGGAAATTTTATATATATAATAATACCAGTATTTTTATATATATTTACTTGACCATTAAATTTCAGCTTGATTAGTTACATTTCATTAGATATGTCAAATAGTAGTGATTAGACAAATTGTGAAGCTTACAATTCCATAAGTGGGATTTGAGTAATAAGATCAATGATTTTGTCACATTAAGTATTTCATGTAATTAAAATAAATATAATGAAGCAAATAATGCTATTTTTCTTTATAAATATTGGCATGAACCTTGATTAAATACATCAAAATGTCCCTTAAAAAACTTATAAACTCAATTTCTCTTCCTATAGTATTTGTATCAAAATTTTCTGTTTCTAATAACAAATTGGTATTAAGAAAAGTAATTAAAATTAGGTCCTTACGAGATTAGTTATGAATTATTAATTTTTTATTTGAAGCTGACAAAATTTAAATTCTGATCACTTAAACTAAAATTTTAGTTGTCGATCAATAAATCACATAACTATTGGCTTGGCTTTATGAATTACACATTAATAGAATCATTTCACTTATATTTTTGTTTTGGACCTATATATTAATCTCAAATGTGTGTGTATTGGTTCTCCTTTATGTTGATAAACGAATGCCAAACTGGTAATGTTGACCATTAAAATACCATTTGCCTTTTATTATTAGCCCATGAGGTTAAAACATGGGAAAATCCCAAATCAGTTACGGATACACCTGCCAATTGCCATGCATGAATTTATCAAATTAATCTCAATAAAAATATCGGTCAGCTGAGCCAACATAAATTTGTTACATTCAGGCCTGTGGCCTGTGGCTGTCTTCTCAGTTCCATTTGGCCCAAACTTTAAATGTCCAGCTGTAGGCCCATAGCATTTAGAAGAAATAAATTCATGTGGCATAATTTTATTTATTAACATAAATTTCTACATTTATATCAGGGACTCAAGATTATAATCTACAAATATATATACATATCGCCTTTCTTCTGAAATGGTGATGTATATACATCTTATAACGCATAAGAACAAGGCCACAGCATATGTCATATTGAGGCAATCATACAACTAGTTTAATAATGATAACAAAAACCACTAATCTGCGAATACATTGAGCATCCAATTCAATAGGAAATTGCAGAGAACAGTAGACAAGTGAAAGAACAAAAACAAAATTTTAACATAAGTTGATTTGTCGACAAAGAGAAAGAAGTAGAACACGATTCAAAACAGCCAAGGTAAAGCATAAATCCAGTTCTTGATCACCTCAAACAACTATTCCAAGATTCACTATCATCTTAATTGAAATTCTAGCTCTTGGATGATTGCTTTTCCTTTGCCTTCTGAATCTTCAGGACCTTCTTCACAATCTTTTGCTCTTCCACCAAAAAGGCACGAATGATCCTGGAATCAGACACAATCAAGAACCCAAGTCTTAAACTACTGCATGAGACCAAATACAAATGAGAAAGAACAGAGATGTCTTAAGTGTTAATGTACAAACCTTTCCCTCACAGCACTTCCAGACAAAACTCCACCATAAGCACGGTTCACAGTCCTACGGTTTCTTGGCAATCTAGACCTCTTATACTCAGCAGGCCTCAAATGAGGAATCTACAAAATATTGCCCAAATTTAACCTCAAATGAGAATACAATACTCAAACTAAAATACCCAATTTTTTTTCAATATACCCACGTTGTATTTCAATTGAAAAGCCATGAAACACTGATATATAAAAGGAAATTATCAACAAATAAAAGATCCCACTGATCAAGATCAATGAAATGCATTAGACATACCCCTTGAATTCTCTTGCCAGTAACAGGGCATTTGGGCCCGCTGGCTCTCTTCTTTGTGGTCTGATAAACAAGCTTCCCTCCTACACCAACAAGAAACGAAAAATCACCACCATGCGGGTGCACCATCAATCATACACCGCCGTTCCATGGAATACAAAAGAACCAAAATCCATTATCGGATCTGGGTTGGAGAGAGATGGAAGTAGTTACCAGGAGTTTTGACGACGCGGTGCTGGTTGGATTTGGTGGCGTAGCTGTGACGCGTGCGGTAAGTGAGCCGCTGAACCATCTTGAAGCCGCTCTGGTTTCGGTCTTTCTTGGTCCTAGGGTTTTTGTGGCGTTTCACTCCCAAGGGTTTTTTAAGGTTATATGTTACACTGCAGGGTCTTTTTTATGCCCTAGATCATAGGGCTAAAATGAGATCATGACTTTTGGTCAAAACAGGTTGACTTTACTGGGCTTTTTGTCTGGGTTTAACTTTTCCAGCCCAAATATTAATCCAAAAAAATTTCATGAATTTGAACTCATTGGATTTCGAAGTTTTTATCCAATTTTAAGTTCGAAGGTAAAAAGATTTTAGTGTGACATTTTTTATCAAAATAAAAGCCTTATTAATTAATATTAAATTTTTGGTGACAGACTTATCTTTTATTTTTAAAAAATCGTAACTTAAGATAGAAAAATAAATTGTAAATATTAAAATTTAAATCTCAAATATTATCGTCTCTTAAAAAATAATTATTTAAATAAATTAAGTTAAATATTGATTTCATATTATCATTTTCTATGAAATCTCAAAGAAATTTTCACATGTAAAAAAGTTCAATTAGAAATTTTATTTCTTTATTATGCGTAATGTGACAATAATTAAATCACTTTCTTTTTTTTTAATAAAACAACTTAATTCCCAATTCCCCATCCACAAATAGCGTCAAATGTTAGACCATGACATTTCTCATAATATAAATGAAATTTTGAGTTCCATCGTCAAGCATATGGTTGATTGTACATAATATTGTTGGCAAAGAAAAAGAAAACTTTCTGTATCAAAATGCCAATGTCTTTGTATTGCTTTGCTTATATCTGTCATACATATATTTACAACCGATAAAAAGTATAGTGGTGGCGGTGGTCACCGTTGCTAACATGGGAACAGTGTAAATGAGGGCTCTATCTCTATCTTCCTACTGCAAAAGTTAATCCTTTGTAATTTCTCATGACACCAAACTAACTGATCTGTGGTTATCCTCAACATGTTTAATACTCTTGAAACCAATTTCAGTTCAACTTGAGCGATGAACAGTGCATGATCTAATAGATTTCCCCGGTGTTGCCTTTGGTACTTCTTTATTATGCAGTTTGTACTTCTCTGAATTTCCTTAAGCCTTTTCTCCTTCTGCAATATGGAATTGAAAATTAAGAACATGGTTATTTCAAAGATTTGAATTGCGAAAAACACGAACAATTGTATTCAAACAGGTTTAGGAAGCAAACCTTTTGAAGATCCGTTCTAACATCCATCAAAAGTTCCAAGTCAATAGGGTCGTGTGGAGCAACCTGCGCTTGCTGGGGAGTCTTGGAGGTCGCATTCGCTTCATCTTTATCAGCACGGAGGAATTCCCAAAATACTTGCATCGATTCCTCGATGATATCTGTTAACATTTCACTTGACATGGCATCCTCCATATATTTTGAGCAATCATCTGCAAGGCCATTATATTGTGCTTTGCTTAAGCAATTTTCAAGGATTAGAAACATGTTGGAGAATGTAAAGGTAATGTGTCTAAACTATATACCCTTAATAACTGGAACTTGGAGAAGATGCCGAAGTGCACATCTGTTCTTGACATAGTTTTCAACTCTTGGTCTGGCTTGAAAGGGTTCATCCTCTAAAAATCTTTGCACAAGCACTTGAAAATGTTGAAATTCCCCAGCAACTTGGTTATACTGATGAATACCATGGCTGTCACATTCCAACAACATTTTTACTTTGCCATATTGCCAATGTAGCATTTCCCAGGAAAGGCATACTTGTCCAACATAGACTGTCTCAAAGTCCTTGAGCAAATCTCTAATCAACTTCGTTGCTGGATCAGCTTCAACCTTCCGTTGTTTGAACGGCCATAAATTCTGTGAGAGAAGTGACTTAATTGCTGGTGCTGAAGATTTTCCAAATGTACTGCTTAGTCGAACTGGGATGTCTTTTAGTTGAAGTAAACCTAAATATAAACATAAGATCACCAAAAAAGAAAAAGAAAAGTCAATATAGTAACCTCATTTCTCGTTCATTGAACAAGGGATTTATGACACTTTAGAACCATAAAGAGACATGGAAGTGGGGTAATAGCAATCTTCCATTGATATGAATGAGTTGATAGACATTAAGATGCATTTGGACCATAACTCCATTAAGAGACATGGAAGTGGGGTAATAACAATCTTCTATTGATATGAATGTGTTGGTAGACATCCGGGGAAGGGGTAAAGGTAGGTCAGATGGCATTAAAAAAAAGTACCACCTGATATGGACTTCCACCTGATAATGGCAACAGGGATTTGAGGAATGCCAAAGAAATTGGATGCACATTTTTTAGACAAATAATGATGGGAATAAAGAGGGATAAAGACCCACCAAGCAATTGAATTCTTTTAAAAGATCTCTTTGTGAAAGGGGAAAGAAAAAAAATCTTCCACAGGTTAATAAAATGAAAAGCCAGATGGAATCTTCTGTTATTTACATAGAAATATTGGAAAATATAAAAAAAAGAAACTGAATTTCCTAAGATTGTATGAGACAACATGGACCCAACATTATTTGATTAACGTCCTACAATGATTGCTATAGTAAAAAAAAAAAATGACAACCATAGAAAACAAGGACCTCATTGACTAGTGTGCCAAGTCATTAGATTCGATGGTTCAATTTCAATCAATTCTTCTTCTAAAATTGATACTAATTTCTTTCCTTTCAACATTAGCAGAGAATTATGAACTATTTGTTTAACTTACAAAAACAAAAAAAAAGGTTCCATTGGTGACTTACTGATTGCATGCATGGTCTGGGAATTCAAGATGTCCAGTTTCCTCATTTTATCAGAGTAGCTCTTGTATACCTTTTGAATTTCAGCAATATGATCTTTGTGATCATGTTTTTCATCAATATGCAGTGGCCCCAGTTCTTCCACTATCTTTGGAGACTCAGATTCTTCCAAAATAGTTGGAAGTCCCCCAGTTCTTGCCATTTTCAGTTCCATTCTCAGCCGCTCTATTAAACCATAATGCTCTGAATCATCTTCTTGCTCCTCATAACTTGAGATGAACTCCTCTTGCAACGTTGGTTCTTTGGTTTTGTCTGGGGAAACCACTGACTCTGTCTCTTTATGATTGAAATCTTCATCACCATCTTTATCTTCAGTTCTTAAATCTTCTCCAGAATGTGTTTCTCCCATTACACACAATTTTTCAGACTGCGGTTCCAATTCTATAAATTCATCATCGGAATCACTGATTAGACCTTTTATGATTGCTGCTTCCGGATCTGAGACACTTGTATTGCGTTCATGAATTTCTTGCTCCATGTTTTCCACCTTTAGCCCATCCGTCAGCTGATAACTTTCAGGTCTCAAGTCAAGCCTATTGGCCAAAACTTCGTAAGTAATTGACTCAACTTCAACCTTGCTTCTTGGGCGAAACTTCTCCCCATCTTCATCCGATTCCTCTTTTTCCTGATGCCATTTTTCTAAACAAATGTCAATTACTGGACTCCCAAAAAAGTCCCCAAGTTTCTCTTCAACATGATCATTACCTTCCATGTCACATGCGTGTTTCTCTAAAATCTTTTCAGTAATGCAATTCTCAACAGATTCCTTTGCCTTTTCTTCGAATATATCTTCTGTTTCAATCTCCTGCTTTGGTTTCTCCGAAAACTTTTCAACACTGGAATTCTCAACAGAGTCCTCTGCTTCGATAGCCAGTTCTGGTTTCTCAAAACTGCTTTCAACGGTTGAACTCCCAACAGAGTCGTCTGCTTTGTCCTCAACAGCAACGTTTGCTTCAACTGAATGTCCTTCTTTGATTTGTTTCTCGAAACTCTTTTCAAAGAAAAACCTCAGAACAGATTCCTCTGTTTTATTCTCAAAACCAGCTTTCGTTTTCTCCGAATTCTTTTCAGCTATGAAACTTTCAATAGAGTCCTCTGCTTTCTCTTCAACAGGCTTCTCTGTTTTCCTTCCATTGACAACAGTTTCTTCCACAGAGTTCTCCAAAACCTTTTCACCTATAAAACTCTCCACAGGATCCTCCGCTTTCTTTTCAATAACATCCTCGACTTCAACCTCAAATTTCCCAATATCACCATCGGCAGAGTCCCTTGAAACAAGAATTCTACCATTGCAATTGGCATAGTCATTTGAACCCATACAAAACGCATGCACAGTATAGCTCTCAATTTTTGGTTCTTTGACGAATCCACTAATACCTTTCCTGTACAAAAACTCATACTTGCTTGAGCTTGCCACCAAGCCAGAATTCTCTGCTTCTCTATTTCCTTGATCACTGCTCTCACTTTCTTTCAACTCATCAAAGTTTGAATCCAAACAAGCCCCAGAGTCATTCACCTCAAGGTATCTGTTGGTAGGAAACCTGCAAAAGACCCAAACAAACAAAAAAAAGCATTAACCCAATACCTTAAACCCTAAGGAAATCAAGAACCAATATGAAAACAGAGTGCTATACCTGAAGAAGTACCCAATTATTGATATAAAAACACAAATAATGAACTTGGAGAGAAAACCCCAGATAGAATCAACAACTGGAAACATGATTCTATACAAAAACCCATGCATAAAACCAAAAAGAAAATAGAGATGGGTTTTTTTCAACATGATAAATCTGTTGGTACCCATTGATTTCAATCAACCTCTCTCATTTCTCAATCTTAAGCAAAGCTAATAAATTCTCTCCCCGTCAAAGAGAAAGTGGGACTGCCACTTGTTAGAAAGTGAAATCTTTGGAGTCAAATTGATCGATGAAAGGCGAGATTTATGGGGACGAGATTTAAAGAAAAGAGAGAAAAAGCTACGTGTCAATGGGAAGTATTATTTCCTTACTGTTAAGGAAAACTCATAAAAAGAAGAGCTTTGATTACGATGAAGATTTATAAGCTTTTAAATAACAGCTGAAGAGTTTCTGTTTCTGTTTCAGTTTCTTGGAATATTCTAAAGAGGGGACTGACACGTTCCAAGCTAAGACTCAAACTCAAATTGTCGTTACTGTCAAAGAGGGAAGGAAACTCCTTTTTCTTCGTTTGAGTGGAACTGTGAAAGGGTCTTTTGTCGAATTACTTAACTAAGAATTAGTCTTTCGTGGGACTTGGTCGGTGTTTGGAGTTGAGAGTTTTCTGGTTTTTGTTTGGTTTTTCTTGTTTAAACATTGAACCAAACGTCCCTACTCCTTTTATTTTATTTTATTTTTCTTTTTTGTCTTTTTGAAATATATATATACCTAACCGACAATGTGAGACTAAAAATGAAATAAAATGGAAAGCCAAGTCAAAAGGAGATAAAAAAAAACGTATCAGATCTGTCCTAAAGAAAAAAAAAAATTAAGAGAACACCATAACAATATTTTGGATTGCATTTTAACACTCACGACAATCAAATATATGAGAAGAAAAAAAGTATTAAAAAAAATAGCAAAAGACACTGAGAAAAATAAACATAGATTATAAAATATTGAATGAATTTTTTCTTAGAAAAAATAGTAAATCAATTCAAATTTGGGAATAAAAAATTGAATCCCAATTTGTGCAGGTTATATTGAGTTCAAGATCAACGTTATTATTAAGTTTTTTTTTTTTTTTTTTTGAGGAATTTTTGCTGTATACTTTTCCTTTTCCTTTGTTGGCCCATGGAATTGCAATAAAAGAATTACCATATGCTTTTGTAATTGGCAGCGCTTGCCTTTCTCCTAATTTTTTGTTTTTCCAATTTTGTCCTAACCTTTACAAGTTAAAACCTTTCATTATTAATTGCCCAACAAGAATAAAACCTGTCACTGTTATACATGTTGGTGATAACTGACAACAAAAATTAAATAACTATAATAAACCAAAGTTTATTAAATGATTATTTTTCATTGTCATATGACAATGTAGGTAACCTAAATTATATTATTTTTTCTTTTTTTCTTTTTAATAATACAATAACACGTTATTACCCGTTATGCACGTCTACGAATATTTCATATCAAGTTTCAATTAAATATTAGTTTAGATAGTATTCATATTCAATAAATTTTCAAAAATTATAAATTTGAGATAACAATTGTAATAAATAATAAATAAGTTGATATTTGTTATTATTCGATCCGTTTATAATTAATTTAAATAATTATAAATAAATAATTAATGAATTCAGATAAAAATTTTATTATTCGTGACGGATTCAAAGATAATATAAATAATGATATCTGAATATCTAATATTTGAATTCGTTTAAATTTTAGTGAATAGTAATAGATATCGAAATTCATATTTAAATTTGTTTTCGTTTATATATGTAAAATATATAAAATTTTATATTTGTAAAAGGTTTCAAATTTTAAAAAATAATTTTTATTTATTATTAATTAAAAGTGAATTTAAATTTTATTTATTTTATATTTTAATAAAAATTTTAAATAAATTTATATATTTAAATTAATAATATTTATTTAAATAAATTCAAATATTATAAATATTAAATAAGTTCGAATATAAATATTTCAAGAACGATAAATATTTGCTCATTTGTCCCTAGTTTGAGATGATTTCTTAATCATGAAGATTTCCCTAGGATTCTCAAATAAGGTGTAAAATTCTCAAATTCACTCAATTGAATCATGGTAGTGGATGTGTACTAAGGCCACTTTGGGTCATTTCTTGTTTGGAAATTCAACCACCAAATTATTCATAGGCAATGGGAAAACCTTGAAAACCAAAATTAACGCAAATTACTATTCTTGGGAAGGCGATTCCCATCATGTGTGTGCTATAGAAACGGGTTTAACCAAAGAGAGTGGGGATTAAACATCAAGCAGCCAAAGCCATCCAATCAAGAATCAGCACATTTTTAGCTGATAGGTATAATTCTGTGAATTCAGAAGGATTTATTCTTTTCCTAACTCATGCTTCATTTGAACGATCGGAAAACTTTTTTTTTTTTCAAATCATCACGTCGTTTTATGTGAAACATCATTAGCAACAACTAAGCAAAATAACAAAAATTTATCATTCGTCTTTTGGTGACGAAGATGCCATACCTTTTATAAATTGAAAAAAAAAAAAAAAGATTTTTCTCACGTCAGTTTCCCCATAATTTTTAATTTCTTCTTCTCCTTGTTTTATAATCTTTCTTTGATTTTTAGCCTTTGAATCATAGCTATTTCCACATATTCGATTTTCATTTTTCATAAAAACTTACAATTCAAACTTCTTGAATAGAGAAATATTTTTGTATTTTGCTCTTTTTTTTTTCATCAAAAAAAGGGTGTCGCTTTAATTCTCTTATCAATATTCTTGGAAGCTTAAATTTGGCCCCAAGCTCCATTATCAACATAGCTAATACGCCACAAACTCTCTTCTCCATCTCTTTCAATGGACAAATTAGGCTCACAAACTTAAGCCATGATTAGACCAAAAACCCTTTGGCTCTAGTCGGCAACATTATTCGAAATTAGTCATTGTTCCATCCGATGCCACCTTTAATTTTTCAACTTACAATGGACGGATAAGGCCGGTGTTGCTTGTCATTTTCTTAACAAACATAAAAAAAAAAAAAAAAAAAGTCGAGAATTCAATTTAATTTTTAATATTTATAAAAAGTTCAAGAATTAATAATCTTAACTTTTACTTGAATATATTTTATTATTAAACAATTTTAAATACGTAATTTTTCACATATTAAGAAAAATTGTTTTTTTTTTCAATCGAATTAACCCTTGTGGTATTTTCGTTTCTTTTAATTAAAAAAATTATTTATATTTTCTAAGCAAATATCCAAACATGATAGATATAATGCAATACATGACGATTAATTTGTGTTATTAATCTTTCAATTGCACATAATGCAAAATCAATTAGGTTTCATCCTCAAATGACAAATGTCAACGACTGAATAAAATTCTTGTTGACCACTGACGAGTTGTGTCAAATGACTCAAATCGCAGCCCCCCGTGCGCGGTAAATTGGTAAGCAAATGCTAATTTTGCTGCAATTGGATTCGTCATAGTGTGCTCTCTGTTTTTTGCACCAGAAATCGTGTTCCTTTTCGATTCTTAAGTCCACTAGTTCACACTTCACATTTCCTAGCCGCAATGAAAACGAATATTTCTCGAAAGGAATAATGGTTCACTTGAAATTAGAGTGATAATTTTTAAGATAAAATCGAATTTGATTTAATTTTTTTAGATAATATATAAAATTATAAATTTTTAAAATTTAATTTACATTTTTATATGGTTCGAATCGAATTCTTTTAATTTAATTTAATTAAGTAATTTTTTAAATTTAAATTTTTTGTTTATATATATAATTTTTAATATATTTAAATAAATTAAGGTATAAATAATTAATTTTATTTTATAAAATTTTAAATTATATATAAAAATTTAAATTATATATAAAAATTAAAAAAATATAAAATTTAATTTGATTTGATTTTTTTAATTTTTTATGATTGAATTTAAAATTTGATTTTAATATAATATATATTTAATATTTAAAATTAATTTAAATTAAATAAAAAATTTATTTTAATTTAATATATATATTTAATATTCAAATTCAATTTGAACCGAATAAAAAAATTAACTCAAATCAAACAAAATATTACCAATTTAAATTATTTTTTAATTATTTTTTTATTTTGCCGATCCTATATGTAATCATGCCGCGGGATTTCTGCCGCGTTGTAATGTTGTTTTTTGTTGACATTTATGCATTGGATTATTATTCCGTATCGGACAGAATTACAAAGTGTTCATTTAATTAAGTAATTTATTAATTTTTATAAATATATTTTAATGAGACACTTGTTAATCCATTTTAAAATTTCATGACCAAATGTATAATATTTTTTCTTATATTGGTGAAAAGTTGATTTTATCTGTACTTTCACATATTTATTTTTGTAAAGTTTTTAAGAGGCAACTTATTCTAATGATTTTTGAGTCAATAATTTTCTGATAAGAATCCTTTTATAAATGGTTATAAGTTAATGTGAATAACCTATTAATAACATTAAGTAAAAAATTTCATATATATCATAAATTACAATATCTATAAAATTAGACTAAATTTCCTATTGAAAAATTCCAATTTAAAAACCCATTAATAATCACTTGTTGTAAAAATTAAGTAATTGGGCCTAAGCAAATCTTCATTTGTTTAAGTTGGGCCAAACAATTCTTAAATTGGGGCTAATTGATTGGGAAAATGTTTATTACCAAATGAAAGGAAATCCATTAACGGCCTAAAGAAAAGAGGATGGAAATCCGAAATTGGCTTCGTTTTCTTTGACCCGTAAACATGATTCCCAAGCTTCACTCAACAAATCAAAACCCGACTCACCCAAACGCCCAAACCCTTCAGCTTCTCACTCACTCATCAAAGACTCACCGCGGAATCCCCATTTCTCCTCTGACCTTCTCCATTCCTCTCCCTTCCCACTTGCTTCTTCAACTTCCATTGCACCGCACCCTTTGCTTTTTCTGGCTATACCCATATAAATAGAACCACCTCAGGAAACATCATCTCAAACGGAAAAAGCCCCAAAACCGACGAACTCAAGTCCTCAGCCCCCTTTTGACGACTCCCAACAGCACTTACGAGTCTCGCCATAGCTTGCTGTTTTGAAAAGAAAAAGTTTTGACTATTGTTGTTACCGCTTTCCAGTAGCCGTGCTTGATGCAGCTTAAACAAAAGAATGTAGAAGGAAGAAAAACGTTCAAGCAGTTTCAGGATCAGAGGTGAGGTAAAAATAATTCAGTTCAATAGTGTATTAAAATAATATCAGTTTTCTTTGTTTGCCCAATTTTCTTTGAACTATGATTTTTTTTCTAAGCTGGTTATGTATTGGGTTCACAGAAAAAAGCTTTCTTTTGAAAGTCTCAATGTGGTATTATGTAAAAGAGAACCATTGATTGTAAATAGTTTCTATGGAGCACCTTAAATATGTTTGGTAATGTTACAGTTTGGTGAAAATTGGTTCCATCTGGTCCGGTACTAAAAAGGGTTATGAGAATAGATGCATGTTATGTCATTTTTTTACCTTTGATGCTTGTTCAGCGGGTTGTATGTTTGTGTTCACTGTTCAGGACTGCTTAGCGGTAAGTTGTGAGCTAAGACAAGCTTGCTCTAATATCCCCTGCGAGTTGTCAAAAATTCATTGTCGGCCAAGCAACAGATGGAGCAGGATTGCTCCCAATGGACGTGCAACATGTGTGGGAACGTTGGAATGGCTGATGGATCGGATGGCTACTACTACTGCTTGAGGTGTGGGTCTCAGGCTGATGACGTCATTGATACGGGTGTTGCTGATGAGGATTTTGTTGAAAAGGGTTCCCAGGGTGGTGCCCTTTACTTGGCCAGCCACACGCGCCATGCTCGCCAATCTGTTACACCAGCCCAACCAATCTCACAATTTGACCCCCAATCTCAGCAATTTTGGTCTAATTTGACCCAAGAACGCAGGGGTCATGATGATAACCAAAATGGAACGGGAGAGGGTGCTGGTTTGGATGGTGTGGGGCCCACAGGAACAAGTGATTTTGGGTCATACTCTGTGTGTGCATATAGTTATGAAGATTATTACCAGGAGGTTAGGAACAGATATGTGATGGGGTTGCAGATGATGATAGAAGCTCAATGTGAATCTCTAGTGGCGAAGTTTAATGTGAAACCTTTGATTTGTGGGATAGCTGGATCCATTTGGTTGAGGTTTGTGGCTAGCACCAGGGTTTTTGATGAAAGTTGGGCTGATGAGGTTATTCATCAGTCAGAGATTCAAAAATCAGGTATTGGCTGCATCCATTTTTTAACCTTTTCTTTTATTTACCTTTTTCTTGCAGAATTATGAGTAGATAAAAGTTGATGATGGTCCTTGTTAGTGTCAATAAGTTACTATGTGGGTGTGGTGATATTGGTGCTTTAGTTATTCCTACTATCCTGCCAAAAAAAAAAAAAAAGAAGGATTTTTGTATTCCGTGTGTTTATTTTTCATAGCTATTTGATTGCATACAACAGATCAATGTTGCTCTTAATGGTTCAGAAGGGAGTCTTTTTCGCTTTGCTATGGTTAAAGATGATTTGTGATATTCTGTTTCTTTCCATCTTAACATTGTTGTCATTTTTTCCTCAAGTTAAGTGGGACAAAAAGAGTAAAAACTTGCTGTTCAGTTTCAGCTGTGGCCAAAAATATAAATATTTAAATAAAAATATCTCAGTGTTGGTGAAAATCATTGTCCAGAATTTGGTTGGTGCTTTAGTTTCATGGCAATTTAAAAACTTTCATATTATTCAAATTTTTGGTAGTGAGTAAGAAAAATTATTAATATCAAAGGTGGTTTAGCTATATAGCTGGAGAAAGTGAAAATGTCTTATTCCTTACTGTTTACGTGCAAGTTTTAGTGTTTTTTATGTTGTTTTTTCTCTCCCCCCTTTCTTTTATGTTGTTACTTATTAATAATTATATCATTTTGTTGACCACAATGTGTATTTTTCCGTTGCAATTAGGAGAAGCTGAGGAATTTAAGCCACATGCTCATTATAGGGCAGAACCTCACAACATACACGGTCAGAGAGCGGTAATTATATGGCATAAGTATTTAAGAAAAAATATTCCATTATCTTGTTCTTTAGCTATTTCTTTTCTAGGATGTCATGTTGCAAGGGAAGCAGTTTTGCCAACAGACATAATTAAGTGGTCAATTGAAGGGGAACTTACCTATTTTGATGCTTTTGTTGAAATTGAGAAACGCATTGGACAGTCTTTGCCTCCCTTTCCTTTAAATCTTAGAAGCATGTTTAGGCCTTCGCATGCTGTTCCTGCTCAAAAGTTGGAATCACTGGCTGCTACAATTGCACAGTGCATAGGCTTGAATTTACCCCCAGTAAATTTCTATGGAATTTCTTCTAGATATCTAAAGGAATTGTCTCTTCCAGTGGAGAAGATTCTGTTGTATGTATGCCACATACATGAGTGGGTGATGCTTCCAGAATTACAGTTGTCAACAAATAATTATGGACTTCCTACTCGTGTCTATGTGATGTCAATACTGGTTGTAGTAATACGGATGTTATATAACATAAATGGACTTGGGGTGTGGGAAAGGAGTTTGTCTAATCATAATCTCCCTCGTAAATCTAATGAAGCTCTGAGTGAGGACCCTGTTAGTAGTCCCAAAGCGAGCGACATTGCTGAAAATGGCTCTCGTTCTCCTCATAGTGTGGATGATATGGGTACTAGTTCTACTAGAAACCCATTACATGATCATAAATCCGAGTTTGATGCTGCGGAGCTTTTGTGCAACCTTGAAGCAAGATACAATGAGATTGATAATGCATATGCGGGTGTTAAAGGTATGATACTGCCACTGACTCCCTGGATTATGAATTGCAGCTATCTTAACCTTTTCGGGATTTCATTTCTTGTGAGCCCTGCCCTCCTCCCTTCCCTTTCCCTTTGTCCTTTGAATTGACTTGCCTTTTTACCATGGTTGACAGATCTTTCTAAAACCATGCCAACATATCTACAATTCTGTCAAGATGTGATATTTGCTGGATCAGAGCTGCCTGTGGACTTTTATCACGATGAGAAACGTTTAATTGACAAGTTTTGGGATTATTATCAGAAAGAAAAGGTAACTTATAAGCTATGGCATAATTTTATTAAATTTCTTTAAGTTAATCCAGAGGGATTCATTACGCGTAATATGATCTGTTAACTTACCTTTTATTTGGAATTCTTTTTTTAATATAATTTATGACCTTGCCATTAATTTGGAATTCTTTCGTTGCATTTGGCCGAAATTTATTTGCATGTATTATATGTTACGTTGCAAGTTGAAAGAAGTAGGCTGAAAGTATTGTTAAATGGGTTTTCCGCACTTTGAAGCAGAGGTTGGAGTCTGGCTTCTAGTGTGTGCAATTTTTAAACAAAATACAAGTATGTATTTAGAAACAGCTGCTATTTGGGATCTCTTTAGTAGCTGCTGAACTTCCTTTTAAATCATAGATATCTTGAGTTTTTAATGAGAACCAATCTTTTCTTTTGGCTGAAGAAAATGGATATTTTTCTGTTTGCATTAAGAACGTATATTTGATAAAATATTTTCTCATTTCCCTTTACGTCTTTCTGCTTTTTGAATTATATGGTTGTGGTGTTGCATTTGCTGTCACACATGAGGCTTATTCGGGCCTTTCTTACATGGTTCTTATCTCTTTTTTTTCCCCATCACATCTGGAAGAACTTGCTGGTCATATCCTTGGCTGATCTTGATGTATGCCAAGTTAGCAAATAACAAATAATTCTCTCTATATTCCGATTATCATTACCTATGTTGATTGCAGGGTTCTGAGCCAGCAGAAGATGTGGGAGAGCGATATAAGAGTGCCAAAGAAACCATGTGTAAAATGAACAAAATGGTCAGAGATAATGAGCATCATAGTAGTCCCTCACACGATGGAGGGACTTCGCATGAAGATTTTTCTTTGCAGAGACACTCGGATATCGACCATTCTTCTCTGACTTCAGAGGAACATGAAAATTCAGAATCCAGTGACAAAGTTGCAGCTGAGACTTCCAAACAAAGAGCCATTAGACTGATGAAAAAGAACATGGAAGAGAATAGGTTCTATTATATTCCTCCAAGGGTGAGGCTCAAGAGATTGGATTACCTTCACTACACAAGGAAGAAAGATGAAGGCGTCATGACTTACGTCTCTCATGCTGATTACTATATCCTACTTCGTTCTTGTGCCAGGGTTGCCGAGGTTGACATGCGGATTATGCATGTCGGAGTGTTGAGTATGGAGAGGAGATTAGCTTGGTTGGAAAGAAGAATCGATCACTGCTTGCATTTAACTCCTCCTCCTGTTACATGTAAATTTTGTTCAAGTGAACCAGAGCAAGCTACAGATGATCCTACAATAGGACTTTCAAATCTAAATTTATAAACTCTCCGTTTTCCATTTCGGATTCCTTTCAACCATTTCTTTCCTTATTTTTTAAGGGGTTCTCAATGCGAAAATTTAAAGATTCAATCATAAAATGAAATCTCACTGTGGGAGAGTGTTCGTTATGCATCCAAACCCTTTGTCAAGTTACTATTTCACAGAAGCTTGAAGATTTTCCATTTTATTTTGTCGTAGAAGAAAATTTATGGTAATTCCTCCATGCTCAAGAGTAAAGCTTTGTACCAACCACTTTGACCAGAGATTCATCAGTATATATACATTATCAGAACTTTTGACATCTTCAAGGAACCCGAACTTTACTAACATTCAAGTCTGTAATTTGCCCCAATAGGCAATAGGTCCCCATTGAACAACCATATTTATATCAGGATCCATGTCCTTGTGGACCTGACATGCAGAGACCAAAATATTTGGACCAAACGTTGAGTTGGTGTTTTGAGGTCGATATAAAGCCAGTGACAATGATACCGTACCTCCACGTACTTTCTTTATTAAGAAAAATTATGATTTTTTTATTTAAATTTAAGCATAGAGACGGTGGATCAATTAAAGCATTAATTAATTAATTTATTTATTATAAAGCTACAACTAATAATATAAGCAAGTTCGCTTTGCTCCTTATGATTAGGCACTCGCGGCAACAAAGCTACAAATGGAAAGGTGGCAATGTTCAAAGTAGGAGCATTTTATTTCACCTAACCTTTTGAATAATCAAACCCTGCTTGCCTTCAAAGATTAGATAAGAAGGGGGTAACATACAAAAATAGATATTTTCAAAGCTAGATTATACTATATATTTAGCAAATCAGACACTACATTAATATTGACAACAAAGTTTTAAACAAATATAAAGGGAAATGACAAATATATAAAGAAAAAAAAGGTGAAAATTAAAAGATTTGGGGTTTAATTCAGTCAAGGTGCACCAAACCCAAAGTAGAGGCAAAGCCATTATCTTTGAATAATACAAACTTTACAAAGTTTAAACGTTTTGCTGCAAAATCAGGAATTCAACATAAATGAATGAAGACAATAATACTATTTGCATAGGACATATCTTATCTGATCATACCCAGAATTTAAACATAACCAGTTTTTTGAAAAATTAAGAAAATTAAAGAATGTTAGGTCAGGAAAAAAAAAAAAAACACAAGCAAGAGATAATGAAGCATGAGAATTGGAAAGGAAAGGCAACTATCAACTCTGAGCTAGAAGACAAAGAATTATGTTATAATATGTCTGAAGATCAATTAGCAGATCCCTTTAATTGTTATCCTCACAAGTCATATCCTCTGTTCTCTTCCTCTTTCACCTCCCAACACTACTAATTAGATTACTAATCAGCAAGAAAGGTACAAAAAGAAAAACTCTGAGAACATGAAAAAAAGCTAAACCAAACAGAAGAAAAAAGAAAAAAACAGTAACAATAATACCCACTAAAGCCTGCTGCTTTGTGTGAAAATTTCAGTATCTTTTCTAAATTAAGAAGATGAAGAAGACCCATTATTAGTGGAAACATAAGGCTGAATACTACCCTCATTGTTAGGGATGTCACTATTGGAATCAAAAGCATTGCCATTTCCATTATCTTCACTGTTGTTGTTGTCAAGATTGAGATTACAAACTGCTAATATCTCTTTCTTGCCAAAAGTGTTCTTGTTGTTGTGCATCCAAACCTTGAGAACTCCTCTATCGACTCCAACTTCATTGCAAAACTCTTCTATCAATCTTTCTTCACTCTTTGGCATCCTCCAACCAAGCCTCTCAGCAAAAGCATGCATCTTTTCTTTCTGTTCCTTGCTAAACTTTGTTCTTGACCTCTTTCTCCCACTTGAATTGTTGTTGTTGTTGTTGTTCACTATCCTTCCTACTGTGGGATTGGAGTGGTTGAGGTGATGATGGTACTCATCCAACGGCCCTGAGTAGCCTGTGCTCAGGGCCATCAGCATGTGGGGTGCAGAAGAGTAGTAAGAGTATGGGACTGGTGATGGTGGGGTATAGGTTGGGCTAGGGCTCGGACCTGCGCTATGGGTTGGGCTTGGACTTGAACTAGGATTAGGTGGCGGTGGCAGATGGTGGATGAAAGCAGGACCATCATAAGGGTCACGGCGGTGGAAGTTGCGATGGCAGCCACAGGCAGCACATTTGAGGGAGGCAGGGTCAGTTGGGTTAGCGGTAGGGCTAGGCATGAACTCACCACAGCCATCCAGGGCATGTCCACCCAAGCTTGCCGCATGGTTTTTGAGGCACTCTTTGTAGGAAACCACCATTTCCTGATGATAATGGTGATAGATGATATTGCTGCTGCAGTTCTTGAGGAGTAACAAAGACTTGGTCTTGCCGTTGATGGCGTGTGTCTCTGATGAGGACTCAGCTCGTGCAAACGAGGGGGTTTTAGTGTTGATTATCTCCATTGCTAAAAAAGAATAAAAGGTGAAGGCTTAATGGGGTGAATGGGGGAGGCGGGAGACCTTTTAGTGGTGTTAGGGTTTTGCTAAGCTAAGAACATTTTCTTTTGTTGGCTTATGGGTGTGACTCCAGGAAGTAAAAATGGATGGTTTAAGAGGCTGTGATTGGGCACTAATTATGATGATCATGATGTGATAAATGACAAAGGCAGATTGGTGATGATGATGATGATGATGGTTATAATGAGAACTGATTGATCATAAATATACGATACTGTTGGGATATAGATTAGATGCAGAGGGACCTTAAGAAATTAAAAATTACACTACAAACACACGGCAATTCCCAACAAAAATTTCAACCACTCACGTTATCTTTGCCCTTTCTTTATTTCTGCCCAAATGATTTTATCTGGATTAGTTATGAGCAGTAAATATGTTTCTTGGGGGGGTAAGGTCCGTCAGAATATATTCTACGAAAGAAAAATGAAATAAAAAAAAAGTCACACTTTAGATTTTAATTGGAGCAAATGTCCTGCAAATACGAGTCAACCCCGTACCAAAAACATGCGTACGTGGCGGATGAATATGATGCACAGCGGCAAACGACAGTGTTTTCAACTTCCTAAACCATCTCATTTCAGTGCATTGAGAGTTGGTACATGTTTTGCTGCTTCCTGGCTAAGACCGTCTCCGCTCTCCTCACTCCTCACCAATTACCCTTATGAGAGAGAGAGAGAGAGAGACCCACTTGTCAGTTGACAGTTGCCTCAGTCGTTTATGGTAGTACTTCAAAGATTCGAATTTTTATACTTTGTTTGCAAGTAAACAAATTTTTTGCATGTGAGTAAATAGGTAAAGGAAATATTTATGTGTTAAAGAATGGAGAATTCACAAAAAGGCTGAGAAAGAGGGGTTCCTTTCCTTGATTTGCAACCCTAAGCAAAGACTGGGAGGGAACAAATATATTTAAGATAATGAGGTTGTGATAAGTGGTAGAATTTGAGAATATGGCGAGAATGATACAGTCGGATCTCAAATAGAGCTTTAGGTAAATATCAATTAGGTTATCAATCGATTATTTTTTTTTTTTGAATCATGATTTGATTTTTATGAAAATATTTCGAAAATAATATTTTGAATATATTTTTTTAATAAAATTAATTACAATTTTGATATATGAATTTTGAAAAAAGATATAAATTAGTATTTAAAAAATAAAATATATAATTACATCTTCAAGTTTTAAGTAACATATAATTTATTTCTTGAACTTTTAAATTATATATTATATTAATTTTAATTTTAATTTCATTATCCATATCATCTTATATATGAGGGTTTGATAAATATTATCAAATTATTTTTTTTTTTTTGTGAAATTTTTAATCTACTTCTAACTTTTTTATTTTACTACATATTTAATTGAAAAAAAATTATATATTTAAATTCTTTCGAATTTACATCCTTCAAGTATTAATTTTAATAACATGCTAATTAATTTAATAGATAATTAATTTATCAAATTATATATTTATCATACATATTATCAATATTTATCTGGATCGTAAAAAACATTTAAAGTTGATCAATATTTTTTTGTCACGTGATATTCATAAATTTTTTTTTATAAAATATGTAATATTTTTATTTAACAAGTAACATGTGTACGATAATATTATATTAATTACATATTATAAAGATAAATTAAATTAATAATATTTAATACATTATTTAAAAAATATAAACGAGGCTGATTTATGATTTTGTCCTTTTGGAGGGCAAATCCACCGACTTAATCACCCAGGGCATGACAAAAAAAAAAAGGACCCCTACCTTCTAGTTAACTTAATCCCTCACGAACTTGATCGGAGCCAGTTTTATGAAGAAGACGCAAGGCACCAGGCATTACCATTTTCGAATACAAAAAGAGGGTTTGATGTGGGAGGTTGGGACCTGCCATTTCTGATTTCTTTAAGCGAAAAAAAAAAAAGAAATGTTAATTAAAGGGTAGGGGCCCATTCCGTTAATCATAATCTCCTCTGCCGCCACGTGTTGTTCGAAAAGCTAAAGCATTATTTTGCGGCGACAAGCCGTTTTGTTTTATCTTCCAATAAACACCTCTTCCTTGTGGTTTTCGTTACAATTAGTCATACATGCATCGTGTCATGTTTTATCTTTTTGCTTACAGCTTGTTCTTCCATTCATTCAAGTTATGAATTTTGCTTCAATTTCCTCAAGTTAATGTTCTGATAGAATAAAATCAGTCTAATGAGATCATGTCTTAATGATATTAAGACTTTTAAGATCGTCATGTCACAATCTGAATTATATGATTGATTTTTTTAACTTTACGTTAATTCATATTGATTTTCATTTTGATAATATTTTTTTTATAAAATTTGATTATTTAATTATATTTTATATGTAAGTGTATTTCAATATTATGCCTTCTATCTCAATTTTTTAATTCATATTTTGGTCTAGAAAATGCCTTCACTTTGTTTATTGTAGATTAGAATTTAATATGAAATTGAATTACTTTATTTTATTTTTTTTCAAACTATAATAATATTATTTGGTTATTGATTAATATAATAATTTTTTATAAAAAATTATAATATAAAAATAAATTATAAGTATTAAAATTTTTATAAAATTTTAACTCAAATTTAATTAATTAATTTATATAATTACTTTTTTAAAAAATAATATTTAATAAATTTAAAATTTAAATCTCAATAATTCTTTCTTACATCTTCATTCTACAATTAATAGAGTTCATGAACCTGGACCGACATAGCTATGGAAAAATAAATTAAAACGTGGGTAGGCAAATTAATTGAAGTTGGTTTGGAGCATATAATTGATAGATTAGTATTAGTATTCTCCCCACGTTGCCGTTTTGGTGTTTCGGATGTGATGTTTTGTCTTTTATGTTTTGCGATTCAGGTTAATCCTTTTTCCTCAATCATGCTTTACTAGAATCCAAGGAACAAATCTAGCTTAGATATATTATTCATGTTTACTGGATCAGAACAAAATATATTATATTAAAATAATTTTAATAAATAATCATTGATTAAATTTAAATTTAAAATTTTTACATTAAAAAAATAATTTTTTATTTTTTATTTATATATAGTTCAAATTTAATCCAATAGAGAAAGGCATCAAATCCTTCGTTGTAAAAATATGATAGAAGATACTATTTGCTTTAGTCCCACTTTGCTAAATCCCATGGCTTGCCTTGCTTCAACAATTGCAATAAGACTCGAGGATGAGCATCAACCACTTTCAAGGATGAACAAATGATATGAATCAAAGAAACTAAAATTCGGCTAAAAAAGAAGGCCTAAAAGGGGAATGGAATTAGAGTCAAAGAATCTGTTAATGGGTTAGAACAATGTCCTGACAATCATGTCATCATCAAAGCAGCACGCGCATTTGTGCACAATTGGACACAAAAAGCAAGTAATGCTCTACTAGTGAAACATGATTTTGACCAATTCTTCCATTCCAACCCAAAATCATTTTGTTGAAGGTTTTACAGAAATGTTAGAGGAGAGGAGGAAAGGCCTCAGAATATATTCTTTGGAAAATGTATTATAAATTTCAACTTTAGTTATTATCACTTCCTATACTGCTAGTCTCCCACTCACCACCCCCACCTTTGTTGCATGGTACAAATAAAACTATTTTTCTTTCAAGTATTTTTTTAAAAAATAGTATTACAGTGTATGGAAAATCTCAGTTTCTTGAATAAAAATTAGCTTTGATTCAAGCTTTTTTCCTTTTTTTTTTTTTGTTTATGTCAACTTTGTAGAGTTTCAAAACATGAACTATATGATTGTGATCAATGTTCTTAATTTTTGACAACTGTTTTAACAAATATGTCAACATCCTTCTAATATGCTAATGTCATAGTGTAATGATAAATGAGATATAACAATATATGGTTCTGATTGCCTGAAATGTATGTATAGCTGCAATCACTTTCCTGAAGGGAAATTTATAGATAAGTAGGAATAAAGTAACTGTAATTTGATTTTTTTGTTCTCTTTAAATGAGACCCTACTAGTGATGTTCATCAGAACAACCAGCAGGAGGGTTATTGTCCCAATAATTGAAGATTGGTTAGGGGAAGCACATGTTCTACCGGCCAGCTGAGCCTAATGGGGGTGGTTTTAAGACTCAAGTTGCCCAAATGCAATGGTAAGAGAGGAGGTAGGACTAGGAGAAATGGTCCTTCTTTTCTGCCTTTAATTTTCCTGCAGAGAAACACCTTGAGTTGTGTCAACAGTCACCACCCTTTTTAATCTACAGAACCAGATTCCATGGTCCACTGCCCCTCTTTTAAGTGATTGGGACCCCCACAAATCAATATTGAAGAGACCCTGACCCCTGCTCCAGTTCGTGTATATAATTATCATCACAATTCACAATAGGTTTTTATTTTGAAGTTATGGGTGGATCATATCAGCATCCACCTAAATGCATTTATGTGCTTCCATGAAACATTACTCAAGAAGATAAGATTAGCAAAGTGAAAAGGAAAACGAAAATATCTTCTGAGCCTGCTGCCAAAACCCAAAAGGGGGCATGGATAAGGGGAAAAAAATCCTTCATTATAGAGGATAAGAATATTGCATCATCCTGATCTATTGGATTTTGCTTTCAACTTTTGTCAACTTCCCCCTAATTTACTATCTTGATAAAGTGTCCCAAATCTTGTAATTTTCTTAGTATGGACTTAGCCGAAAGGTCATCTTTTCATTTTAGATGTGAATTTAATGGGTTTTAACAAAAAAAAATCTGTCAATATTGCGTGGGTGTCATAAAAGAAACCCTTTTTTTTTTTTTTTTTGGTGTTAATAAAGTAAATAAGTTTAAAGAGGACATGCTCAATTTTCCATTGGATGAAGCACACAATTCTCTAATAAAAAGTCTTAACCCAAAAAAGCTTAGTTTGAAGATATGGGTCACCTGGAAAACCAAGTAGGCCTGCCCCTCCAATTTGGTCAATTTACACTTGGGCTTAATGGTCTAGACCAAGAGCAACCAACTTGGGCTTCTCGACAGAGTCCCGCAACCATTTTTGTATGAGATGGGGGTTTCTCTTACTAAATCTGTAGTTATGTACATGTCCTGTAATTTCAATGCAAATTATGCAATGCCAATTTCGCTTTGTTTCTGAAGAAAATTGATGTTTGAAGATTCACATGATTGAATTGAATGTGCCCAAAACCTAATACAAGTTCTTTAGGGCAATGACATACTGTGCTGTATCTAAGTTTTGCAGTTTTGTGTCATTCCATTCCACATCCACAGAACTGTCTGACTAGGTTTTATTGCAAGAATCCAGGACCAATAATTCATTACTTCTAATCATCACCATGGAAAAGGAGGAACCCTGATTGGCAGTGTGGCCTCATTCATATTCGTTGCCCACTTGCCCAAGTGAAAATACCTCTGTCAAAAGGGGAAGACTGTGGAGTTTGAGGTTTGTCTGTTACCGGCCTTAAAGAATTGTCAGGATTTGCTACGAACACTTGTCCTTATATCCGAAGCACAACCAATTCAAAGACAAACTGAAATTATGGTGAAACTTTTTCATGGAATCCTGTCTGACCTTCCTGACCTTTTCTAATAATCTCTCTGCTCACAAATCCCAATATTTCACTTTCTTTCTGAAAGTTTGGTTACAACAACCTTGAGGACTGAGGAGTATTTAATTTGGTAAAACTGTAATCTTTATTTCGTTATTACTGTTATTTCTTTCCAGTTATGTACTACCACATTCATAGTCATTTATAGAAAGGCAGGCAACAGCGATGTGATATTGATCTAGATGAAAAAGCGTGCCTGCTTTTTTAATCACACATTGATACTCCATCGAGTTGTGCAGGAGTTTGATTCTAAACCATTGAGTGTACCTTAGTACTAGCCAAGAATTTCTGGAAAAGCAAAAGGAGTTAACTCTGTTTGAGCCCTATTGTAATGTTTCTAAGGGTACAACAGAATTTTGACTATATTCTCCAAGAAACTTACTAACTGAATTGATACAAATACAAATAAAATTTTCTCCTGAAAGAGAATACGAAAGGAAAAGAAAAAGAAGCTATAAATGTTACTATAATTTGGGAAACCCAAACCATAATCTATACTTTTCTTTCTTCTTGATCTCCTATATATTAGGATGTCAGCTTACAATACAGAGATGATGCTGGCTCACTAAATTGTCTTCAAAGACAGGGCTTCCTCTAGTAACTTCACTATACACATCTCTTATAACAAAAGAAAGGGAAAAAAAAAGCTAATAAAAACATTGAGAAAAACCAATCAACCAACCCCCATAAAAAAAGGTTTCTCAAGAAAGCACTGTGTGAAGTTGTTTCCTTCTTTTCGAAGTGTTTAAACTTACTTGAGGCTATTACTTATTACTCTTCCTTGTTGAAGAAACCACTTGAATTTGTCATCAAGACTTGTTGTGGATAGGATCTGATCCTCTTCGAACTCTTCTTTTGCTCGATTGATTCGGATCAAATGTGTTGTTTACAGGAGGTGGTAATTTTTTCTCTGTGCTCATTCCCTGCATGTCAACAGCCTTAAGAATACGTTCATTCCTGGTAGCTATTCCAATACTACTCAAACCAGAAACTTTATCTGGTTGAACTGCTAATAACCCAAAAAAGAGAAGAAATATAAGCACACTTTGAACACTGCAAACCATTTTTTTCCTACACTGAACTCAACTCAAATTAACTAACAAGAAGAATAGAGGTATATATCTTTATTTTGTTTAGAGTAATGAGGGAATAAGCTGGTATAAGATTGATATCCCTCTATTCTTATGTTCCATTCCTGTAGACACAAGCCTGTTATTTATCTCTTATTGGATTTCAGAAAGGACTATAAAGCATTAAAGCATGGAGGGACCCAACACTGCTAGAGGGAATTTTAGATTCACCCCAAATCATAAGTCTGCAATCTAAGCAGATAAAGGCTGTTATTTGGAAAAATCTGACATGGATTAATAAAGGGTTCGGAATAATACCCATGAGAAGCCAAGTATCTTTTTTCATTTGTTTCCCCCTTCCATCTCTATCATTTCCACTGCTTTTGTCTGCCAAGCATAGGCCAACCTGGTCTCTTGGACTCTCAGCCATTTCTTGCCACATCATCCGACCGTTCTTATGTGTACATTCAACTAGGGACCCACTTATTCCATCCTAGCCTGCCTCTTGAACTTTTGGAAATTACAAATATGGTTACTGTTTCATAAAATTATGGGAAATTACGGCTAACTAAGCAAGGGTATTAAAGTATAATGTCATTCCTTTGTTATTAAGAAAAGGTAGTTTTTGTATTCTTTAATGATATTGACTGGGCAGACGGAAGCCATTACCACCTAGAACTGCTAGATTGCTACAGTAGCAAGCTAAGTCGATTAAAAGAATCAAAATTGGAAGGGAAAGTATGTATGTGTTATAGAACAGCCTCCAAAAGGAAGAAACAAACAGTTGCTTTATGTCCATTTCTAAGATCTGTTGTCACTCTAGAATTCCGAGCTCTCTTCCCTATGCAACAAAAATAACAGTCACTTGGTTCCTTATGCTACATCTGTTTCTTTTTGCTTTTCTTTCTTTCTTTATTTATTTTCTCTTCTTTGGGCAGCCAAATTCTTAATCCCCATCCAATGATTCAGAGAAGACCCACTTCAAAAATCAAAACTTCTCTTCTGTCCCTTAATCTGTTAAAATGTTCTCGTTTATTCATGTACAATTATCTTTTCCTTTATTTCTTTTTCTTTTCTTTGTTATTTTGTTATTTTTGTTATTAAAATATGCAAAATATCACATGCTACTTGGAACATTCTAAAGCATAAATTCTTGCACTTTATCCGAATTAGTTTTGTGATGGGATTTGATGTTGCCATGAGATGAAAGTGAACGGTGGCTGGTTATAGTCCAAGCATTCCTCCTAAGCTAACTTGAACTTGTTAATTCATGTGCTGATTCTCCACTTTTTATCCTCCAACTGAAAGTTAAAAAAAAAAAAAAAAATTAGGAGAGGCCCTCAAGTTAGGCAGTTTTAGTAGGTAAAAATTATCGTTCAAGGGGAAACTATCAAGAAAATTGTACGTCTTTTGTAGATTCTTGAGGTTGGTCTTAACTCTTAAAATGTAGCTACTTTTCACTTTCATTTGAACCAAAGTGAAAAGGGCCCATTTGGTTGATCAGCCTTCCTCTCCCTTGATGGTCTCTGTGCAATGAGTCCATCCACAGTCAGCCTGACCAAGCCACCATGAAAGAAAAATAAAGACAACTAAAGAAGTGTAACAAAGCATGTTAAAGAAGATAAAGTGAATGAGTTTCTAATTTGATACAGATCATTTCTCAATCTTTGAACTATTCCCTGTTTCATTCCTTTTTTTTTCTGTTCTTTTTTATACCTTAAACTTTGTTGGACTGTTTGCAACTTGTTTACATCATGATGTAAGACCCCAAACCAATACGGTAAGAGATCTGATTAACCCAAAGTCCCTTGTTTAGTTCCTCCAATATACAAAAATTTTGTTTTTTATCTTTCAATATACATTTTATATACCATATCCTATATATATATATATATATATATGTATGTATGTACATGTGCTCGATGCTCTCTAAACTGATACTAATTGAGTTTCATTATGACCATGAATAAATTTTACTTAGCAGACACAAATCCAAAAGGAAAGACTACAAAACGGAATGTCACTACAGACATATGTTAAAAAGGCAGTAACTGACTTTTAAGATTTGTTCCCATAGATCATTATCGGGCCAAGGGCATTTGAGAATATATGCTCTTTACTTTAAAAGAATACCACTAAATATGGCATCCGCTGATGCAGCAAAATGGTGGAGTGGGACTCGCATTTGAGCTTTCAACACTTTGGAAATGGTAGTCGCATTTCACTACTTTCAATTCATGAGGTAAAGTGGATAGCAGAGGTGACGGTTATTCCTCCCACCATCACCCACAACACAAACTCAAAACTTGTAAACCTTTTTTTTGGGTGCTTACAGTTGCCCTGAGTACTGAAACTAAAAGTACGAACAAATTCCAAGATTGTCAGCATTTTTCACCCAAAACAGCGATTGATCTTCAGCTACGATAAATTTCGTGTCTTGCAACCCAGTTCCCAGAAATTTTTAGTCCATTTCAGACGGTATCCTACTACAGAGTGTACAAAAGATGATACCACAGAAGAGTTAAACTAAAACAGTAAGGAATGAAAAAGCAGTTCACAATGACAGTGGAACTCAAGAAGGAGAGAATTATGCATTTACAAGACATGGATAGCCCAAGCGAAGCACTGCGAAGCTCATATATACATATAGACAATAATGAGTACAAGATATGGAAATTAAATGACTAAGAGCTAGCCGAATAGTTCAACAAATCATTAAAACAGAAAATGGTACAGCTCCTAATCTTTCTCAGCTATCTATTTGGGGATAAAAAATAAATAAAAAGCTTTTCAAGTTTATTGATAGGGGAACCAATTCTCGTTTGTTTGTTCGTCAAATACCAATATAATGTCAGTGCAGGGCTTTCATGTATCTGATGAGTCAAACACTTTCCTGGTGGGGAGTCACCACAGGTCCTGAATCTATGGTAAAATGCATACCCCTATGTTGCCCAGATTGTAGCATGAAAGCAAACTGTGTTGCAGCCAATGCTGCTGCTTCCTGACAAAGATAATGATAGAAGCTTCAATATCAACTTAAATACAAAACCATGTCTACGATGTATGGTTTCAACTTTCAAGGTCGGAAGAAAAGCCAGAAGAGGGATAGACAAATAGAGAAAAAAAAGAAAGTCTTTGTTTAACTTGATGCTTTTCCTAGCTTCCTCTGGAAGAGAAAAAAAACATGGGATTTAAAATTGAAGTAGAAGTATAGATAATAACCTGTCTTTGCCTTCGTCGCTGTAATATGCTGATGGCCCAAGCCATGATGTAGCATGGCAAGAGAAATCCAGCAGCTCGAAGCAAGAAAAGCTGCAAGAAACCAAGCAGTTCAAGAAAAATAGCTCCATGGTATAATGACTGTAGTGCTAAATGCTTAAGAAATGCATAGGTGAAATAAGAGAATGCAGCTTTAGGTAAAACTTACAGAGAAATAAGTAGAGACATCATCATCTGCATCAGCATCTGGAACAGTCAATGCATGCCGCAAAAGCAGGAGCGCCATTAACTGAAAAAATGAAAAAAAAAATTCAATCATTTTTAAAAATTAACTCTAAATTACATAGTTCATGTAAGAAAATGAAAAAAATAAAAAATAAAAACAAAGGAACCAAAAGAAAGCTATTGACACGAAAATTTTCAACTGAGATGCCTGTGGCCAGGCAGAATCTGGGTGCTTTTCCTCAAACAGCAAAGTTGGGAGGGAGATGAAGCCCCTAAAAGGAGGGTATAAGTTGGTCTCTCTACTGTTTATGCTACCATGCGATAGAGAGAAAAAGGAAGGAACCAAAAGAAAAGTTGTTGACATAAAAAATCACTGAGATGACCACTGTCATTGTGGCCCAAACGGAATTGCACCACTGCTCTTGTGGCACAAATTGGCCATGAGAAGGTGGAGAGTTGGGAACTGAAAGTCCAAAAATCTTGTAATAGTGTAAAAGTAGGTTTCTCCACTGTTTATGCAATAACTATGCCTAACTATAGGGAGAAATGAGAGCAAAACTATGTCCAAAGAACATAAAGATCTTCGAGTTAAAAGCTCAGACACCTTAGCAAACACTTCTGTCCAAATCAATTTACCAAGATGTTTCCTTGACACATGGCTAATATATGAATAAATAGAATTAATAATGGTCAAGTTTATGGAATTAAGGTTAAACTCACTTAAACATGGATGCTCAGCAGTATGTGTTAAAACATGATTAGAAATTCAATATGTCCAGCAGATTCATAATTAAAAGCTTACAATTAGAGCAGCTGAACGGCAAAATGCAGCTCCACTGGCATTTGAAGCAGCATATTCGTCATATTCAGCTTCCAAAAATTGGCGCTCTGCCTCTGCAATGGCCAAGAGGCGTGGATCACGCAAATCCAGAGGGGTGCCAGAGATTGTCCAGCCTCCACTACAACACAGATACACAAATCATTACAATAGAATCTCTCAAAACAGATAAGACAGTAATCTTTCTGGCAAATTTAGATCAAAGTTTCTGATGGACATCATGCTTTATAAATCACACAGCATACACATGATTTCATCAATACTAAAAGCCCACCAACCATTGCATACAAATTTGTTACATGTGAGAACATCAAACTTACCCAATATCAATAGTGGTTTCTTCAGTTCGAAGCCGAGGTGGGGCAGTATAACCGGGTTGATAAGGCTGCTCAAACAAATAAAAAGGAAAGACTGTATCAGCAAGGAGCCACAACAACCAAATATCAATAGCCAATAAACATAAACTAAGAATTTAACAATAGGCTTGAACAACAATAATAATTCCCAAATGTATCTGACCTAAAACCACTAAACATGATAAGCCAGGGCTAAAAGAACAAGGGCTTTTCCCATCAATCAGAAGGCTAATTAATTAATATTCTTCTTTTCCACAATCATGTGCAACTACAAAATCCATAAACTTTCCATTCTTTACAACACATAAGGCCTAAAAGTGCCAGTTCAAAATCTTGTAACAACTTAAAAGGAGGACTTGGAGTTGCACGAAGGCGATGCATGTTTCTCACAAAATAACAACTTTGACAAAGGATTAACAGAAGTAGATACCTGATGACATATCTCACAAATTATATCGCCTTTCTCGTTGCACCAATGCTGCACACACTTCCTATGCGCATACTGTAATTCAAAACATATAGAATTCAACAAATGCCTACCATAAAACTCAATTTCATATAGCGACTAAAAACACCAAAGCAAATAATTTTATGAGGTTCATTAAAATAAAAGCCGAATCGCGAAAGCTTTAGTAATGCACTTTATATTCTAAAAAAAAAAAAAAAAACTTGATCAATTTATCATGAAAAATGAAATAAAAGAAATTAAAAAATAATAATAATAAATTGAAATTACCTTGAGGCTACCGCTGCAGGCACAAGGAGTCTCAAGATTCTTAATGGAATCTTCCTCCTGGCAAATGCGGCACTCCGCCGCCTGAATCAGCGCCTCCTCCTCGTCCTCCTCGCCTCCTCGGACGACCTCCTTCTCCTTATACTCCGCCGAGCACGACGGCCCTGAAATCTCCTTTGACAGACCAGGCTCCGACTCCACCGGCTGTACGGGCACCGGCCTCACCAGACGATCAACATACAACACCAGGTGATCACTCATAATTTCTACAAATTTAACAAAAAATAAAAATTTCAATTTTTTTCAGTTAATTCAATCGAAAAAGATAATTCTCCAAAAAGAAACCCAGGATCGCGCTGAGTCAGAGCAGCGGATCAGAGGTTTCCAAACGAATGAGAGAATTAAAAACAAAATAAAATCTAATGACAAAAAAATTAAATGAATTAAATCTTAAAAATATTTACCTTTAGCGAAAAAAAGGGGGAATTTGTGTTTGATTAAGGGAACGAAGAAATAGGAGAGAAATTTTCTAATTTGCTTCGAACGCGTTTTTCCTTTCTACATTTTGTAATAGATTTTTAAAACAAAATCGACGACCGTGGATAGTGGGGGTTATAGGCATGCTGACGTCAATGGAAACGGCTACAAGGGTATTTTTGGAATTTCATATCGCCATTGCGCGTTAGCTGTCACTGGCTGACCCCTTCCGCCCTTTCGGTGGCTGTCTGTCTGTTTCGCAGTTGAAAAGTCGCCTTCTGGCCTTAAGCATGAACTCAATTATTTTTCCTTTTTTTTTTTTTTTTAATTTCTTTATAATAAATGCTAATAATAATTTTTTGTATGTTTCTTAACTCCATTTTCCTTCCCGTTTTATTGTTTATAAAGAATCAAAGCATTGACTTTTTGTTATCCATTTTTTCTTCAATTTTTTTGTAACAACATAGATATATTTAGACATAATAATTGTAATACTAATTAATTATTACGGTTTCGTAATTACAGAAAAGGGCATTCGACCCACTTTCAAGCTAACAAGATAAATGCATTTATATGATAATTGAGTTGATTGAATTCTCCTTTGGATTATCATTTATTGTTAAAAGGAAATAAAAAAAAAAAAAAAGGGTTTTAGTCAAACCGAAACAGCTGTTTTTTATTGCTTCCAAGGTTGCTGTCAGTTTCATGAAAATTATCAATTTTACTTTAACAAATGCAAAAGATATACTTTTAAAATTTTCCCAAAACAGAATTAAGTTCGAACAAAATTTTCATATATTTATTTGTTTCTACAAAAATAAATGCATCTTCAATTCTTCATGCAAATGGGTAAAAGTCAAACAAGGGCAATAAAATATTTAGGTTTAGTAGTTATCTAGCAAAAAATATGAGAAATTAATAGCTCAATTCTCAACCAAGGCACTGGTCAAACTTATTTAAAACTTAATTAATAGATATTGATGTGTTGGTTAAATCAACTTGTTACATTTCGGATCTATGAACGATAACATCCATAGAAACGATGCTTGATTTTTACATTGTATTTACTTCACCTTGAATAAAAGTTGTACATCATAAAACAATTATTATCAATTTAAAAATTTTATTTTTTTTATGCATAACTGTGAAAAATTTAAATCCTTACATGCATTATTATAAGTTTAACATATATTCTTTCCGTTTCAAATTATTTGGATGTTATTTATTTGGAATTTAAAAAAAAATTATTTTAATATATTTAATATTATATTTTAAAATATTTTATAAAATTAAAATTTCATGATTTCATGATTTATGTCAAAAATATGATAAAAAGTAATTTTAAAATATATAAAAATTTTAAATGTTCAAAAAAAAAAAAACATAATTTTGAAACATCTAAAAAAAAAAAAAGACCAAAATAGTATTTATTTATTAATTAATTAAAAATTTGACCACCGGTGTATTAAATAAATTTTCTTAAATCAAAGACCATCATCCATGAAAGAGCATTCCTAATCCAATTGGTAATGGAAAACCTCCTTTCTTTGTCAACCATAGCTCTGGCATTGCAGAGAGCATTCTGAAAAAAAGAAGCACTGCTAAATTTTAAGGTCGAGTAGTTAAAATGATTTTGCATTTTGATGGTTGAATTTACTCGCTCCCTATTTAGAGAGACGAACAATTGAGAAATGAACAAATTTTCATAGCAAAACAGCAACCAAGACTTCAGAAGGCACTTTAGACAACATTTCAGGAAGCAGTGATACATCACTGATAATACTCCACAACTAATCCATCACACCCATCCTTCTCTAATCCTGTAGTATAGGTAAAATGGACAGGCAAGTGGTACAATAAACTAGGATTTTAGTTCCTGGTAAATACAAAATGGGAAGCTTATCTTCTATCCTAGTTCCCCATGAAAAGGTTACGCTAAACTCTACGTTGAAACTCGATGATATACAATGTTACATTTCACACTGACATGGTGTCCTTAAGAGGGGGGTGCAGTCAACCAAGGAAGCATACCATCCTCCTTGGCTGCAAAATCGTATGGATTTGTTCAATCTCCTCTGGACAATGCTATCAACTTCTACCAATACGAGTAACGATATATCGTCCTTTCTCTAGATCATACACTGTCTTCATCTGGGGTTTCCTCCATTTTGATATAGACCAAGCTATGAACATCAATATCGCAGAAATGGCAATGATGGAGAATAGTGTGGGTGAATCATTGCTGATAATGGTAGTTATCCAGTCAGTTTGCCGCACATTTGAGTTGGCTGAGGTTTGCAATATGAAAGCTCCCAAGGCCCAATCTAGTGGTATATTTTCTACCTGATTAGCAACGCTGATCCTGTTTAAGATTGAATCTGATTAATATTTTCATATGGAGGAAAGCCACAGTGCCCTAAAAGTCATTTAAGTAACATGGTCCGTTTGCTTTTGAGGACACTTAACTAGTAAAGCAGGAAACATACCTCTCATCATCCAAAGCAATTGCAAGGCTATCATGAAGTAAGGCCACAATATATGCTGAAGAAAAACAATAGCGCAACAGATCTTCCTCATCGAGTGATTGGTGTTTATTCTTCAATTTTGACCAATCCTCTCCGCAGAAATGTTGCCCCGCCATCATTAGATCAGAAAGAAAGGCCCTTTGGCGCAACCTAAAGAACTAAGCAGGAGTAGACAAACAAAGAAATGGAAGGCTTTTAGAAAACAAAAATTCAATGCGCCCAAGCATACATTACATTGGTTTAGGATAATGTGCTTATGGCATAGAAAAAGTGTTTTGGGGGGGGGCGGGGGGGGGGGGGTGGAAATTAAGCAAGAATCAGCCAGTAAGAAAAAGACAGATTATAATTATACCTTTGAGGTATAGAAGAAATTTTCTGTAGCCAAAAATTTCCCTCGAAGCTTGGGCATAAAAACTGACCCCAAATAACATTGATCATAGGCACATTTCTCTGCAACAGAATATATAATGATGATTACCCTGTGGCATAAGTTAATGCAATAAATGTGGTGGTTCCAAGAGAGTTTATAACCTTTTCCTTTTTGTAATAGCATTAGTGCAGCAGATCTGCACTCTGAGAAGTTACCCCTAGCTTGAAGTTCAGAAATATATTTACTTTTTTCAGCCATAGGACCTAGTAAAGGCTTCGATGACTTAGGCAAGTAACCTTTAGGTGTACAAGGATCAACATACATTTCCTTATGAAGAGAGTCAGCAGCTGTATTATGGTAAGAAAAAAATAATGAGCAATATAAACATAATAACTTAACTAACTAGTGACTCCACACCATCTCTATCAAAGGTAACAAAGATTCTATGAAAATATCCAATACAAAACCTTTAATTCTAACAACCTTTTCCATAATGTCCATTATGAATAAGCCACAAATGACCAAAGATAAAAGAAGACAACTTTTAGAATTAAACATTCAAACCCAGCCTAAATAGTCAAAACCGTAGTATGCAAAAGTGCTCATACTCAAATTTAGATCTCTTCCTCAAACTTTTACATTGAAAGACTCACAGAGATGATTAAAGTACAACTCAGCATGAGTGAAATTCGTAGTTTGAGTTCAAGGCACAATAAATGACAATAAATGACTTTTAAGACTTCTTCAAGCACTTATAAGCCAGCAAAAGTTTGGCAGAAAGCAAATACATTAAAACATACCTGGACTGAAATCTCCTTTAATAAGTGATTCCCTCAATGATTCATGTGCAGCATTCTGAAAAAATGACAAAAGTTTAAAGCTCCTAGATCAAGTTTGGATTTCTTTACATAATCCATAACAACATACTTAAAAAATACAATGCAAAACCATATTGAAACAATAACTAATATTAGTTAGAAGTTAGATCTGCAATTATAATCATTATTGTTTTTAAAGGGATTAAGAAAAACACTTGGCAGAATGACAGTCAATCAGTCATATCTACGTCCAGAATTTTTGAACAAAAAGATCTCCTCAGTTCATTTAATTTTAACTATGCAGAACATACCAAAGCATTTCATTAGGAACAAGAATTGCTAGAAAGCTAAATGAACAAGAATTGTTAGAAAGCTAAACCATAATTTTTGTGGACTATGATGCCTACAATTTGGAACACAACTGCATAGCAACCATAACCAACAAAAAAGTACAAGAATAGCTAATGCACGTGAACATTACCTGGCCAAAATTAAGTAAGCTGTGGCTATAAAGTTTGTAAGTGAAATTCCCAAACTTGATGAAGCGTGAGAACTCAGAAGGCATAGGCTCACTTGAGAAAAAGGTTACCTGAAATAAAAGTCCAGCAGTGAAGTTAATGGTGATCTTATGTGTGCTTCTCAACTTATACATTAAGAGCACAAAGCAAAGGACATATATAATGCCATCAAATGCATTTGAAATTTGTTGAAAGTTACAGCTAGTTGTTTCTTGAAATCTTTTTCCTTTTGACAATGCAGATAGTGTTGTTGCTTTAAGTAGCAGTAATGTCTTTCCCAAGTCCCAACCATAAATTTTTGCATTTTAATTCCTGTTTCTTGAAATGACATCAACTTGTTGTCTTTCTGGACAACTAACAAACTGTAGTTCATGGCTCACACTCAACACATGATTCATGGTTATAAGCTCAATAAAGAAAGTTTTAAAGTGAATTATGAACTAATCTGAGATATCGTTTCTCAATACACAAGAAATAGCTTCAAGGAACTCTAACATGTGATGCCACTAATTAGAAGCTCGAATGACTTGCAAATTCTGGTGTGGAAGAATCCAATATAACTCTATCAAAACACTATAGGAAAGAATTCCAAATTAAAGAATCTTGACTAAAAATTAAAAACGAACCTGAGCAGATGCCCCACCAAGTTCAATAATTCCAGTTGTATGCAGAGGATTACCTCCAAGTGTACCAAGTGCGTAGTTTGCAACAACCCAAGCATACACCCCCTCATCAGAGCCTAAGACAGTCATAGCAGCCAAATTTAGCCTCAATAATGTGGATCAGCAATTAGAAACTATAATATAAACATAAGGACTGTAAGATTTGCAGTATAGACAACAAGGGTTGATCTTTATGTAAGCCCTGGATGCATAACAAATTATACACAGTTATGAGACAAAAGGATGAGATGCAAATCTCTAAAATATCCTAAGAAGTTATTTTTATCAATTTGTTGGTTCTCCCTCTTATATATGACTTCAGCCAAAATGGTCCAAGACAAGCAACCACTGTCTTAAATTAGAGTCGACATAAACTATTATCCTAAAATGTAGATTAACCACTCTTCCATTTCTCACATTTAGCTTCTAAAACAACTTCAAACTTTTCTCACATTGGCTTACTAAATTCATTCAAAACATGGCAAATACTCATATCAATCGGCCTCGTCAGTTTCATCATATAATCCTGGGAAGCAGTCCAGTACTAAAAATTAAAACATCAGAAAACATTTTCAATTTAGTTGCTTTTGCCATTGCTCATACATATGAGCAATTGTAGGCCAACGGATACAGCATGATCAACTTCAAAATTTATCATACAAATAATTCCTAACACTAAAGATCAACTTAGACCTCTTACCACTCTCCTATTCCTGACATGTCGGATTCATAACACATCACAGTTTCCCCACATTGCCCAGCAAAACTAATTCAAAGCAAGCCACATTGTATTACCTGTAATAACCGAAGCCCACTCGTCGTGAAACTTAAACCCAGACACCCTAAGCACCTTCCTGCACTCCTCCAAAATCCTCTGCTGCACCTCAACATCCAACAATCTCAACCCCGCCGTTGCCATTAACCTAATCTCCGTCTCTCCCCACTGTTTTCTCGGAACATTCCTTCTCCCAAACTCCAGAAGCTCTACCAGTGAATCCGCAGCTGCTTCCGGATCCTCCGCGTACGCCGACAATCCCGGATTCACCCTCAAGCTATCCAACCCTTCTTTAAAGTCGAAAACCGGGTTTTTGCCTCCATCAACTCTGTATCGAAACACGTGAATCCTCGTTCCCGTGCTTCCGCCATCGATTATGATTCCGTACTTTTTGGAATCTTTGGAGGAGAAAAGGAAAATGCAAGTAAAAATCACTAAAGCCAGAGATATGGCGATCGAAATTGCGATGAAAGAAGGGGTTGGCTTGGTTTGACGAGGGTTTCGGGAAAAGAGACCGGTAGATCGGGAATTGGGTCGGATTTGGAGCTTAATTGGGTCCATTTTAGGTGAATTGTTGGTGGATTTGGATTTGGATTCGACCCGATTTCGGGCATGCGATCGTCGCATCAAAAGATCAAATTTTGTTGAGGAAGGAGCATGTGATTGTTAATAATATTATTCAAAAAAATTTTCTTTTACGAACAAAAAAATTGTAATTTTAATCGAAATTGAAGAAAAGAAAGGGATATAATTCAAAGAATGAGGATTTTTAGGGATTTTTTGTTGGAATTGGAGAGGGAGAGAGCTATGACTTCCAAAGGTTTCAGCCCTCTCGCTCCTATCTGATAAATTTTATTTTTTGTTTTTGTTTTGAGTTCATGTTTCAACATTTTAACACCTTTACGCGTTCCAAAAGAGCAGGGAAACATCTCCGGTTCGGTTCGATCTTAGAAAATTGTCTTCACCGGTTTGGAGTTCGGACAGATCGCGCCTTGTTTTCTATAATTGTAGTTTGACCCCTAAATCTTATGGTTTAATTGCGGAAACGCCCTTGTCATTTTGTCTAATTACAAAAAAATCTGTTTTATTTGAAAATTTAATGGGCTCAATGGGCTTAATGCCTTGCCCGGAACGTGCTTCAACGGGCTAACTATTACTTTAATTAATCCTTACATCCCAGTACAACAAAATGAGAAGTTAAGTCCTATGTGTTTTGAAAATATGTCCAATTGTCAAGAAGTTCTTGAGCATGCAGGCTGAAAAATAGTGGTTGGCTCCTGAAGGCTGATAGGTATGTGAAGTCAATGCCCAGATGGAGGAGGGTACTTGAAATTGAACCAAAACTCAATAGCTTTTGATTAGATACTAAGGATTCAAAACCTTAGTACATGAAATTATCAGCAGATGCTAACATGGTTTCATTTTGTTTGATTTGAACACCCCAAAAACAAACACAAAGTAATTAAGAATTAAGTAACAGAGTTTCTTTTTCTTCCATCATCTCATGCCAGGATCTATCCGTTATCCAACCATCATGCAGGCAAGGAAAATAGATAAACTGATAGTTATGAGGTATAAAAATGACAAGCACAATATTCTTTATCACTATATTTGGTGGATGATTAGATTTTTCAAAATCAAATTTTAGACATCATATTTTAATAAATTTAAGTCTAAAGTAATGCTGGACACTGGCCACCATAAAATGCTTTATGCCATTAGATTTGGAGACATGTAATCGGGATGACTAGATATACACAAACAAGGACTCTAGCAGACAAGAAAAATGGTGGTGAGAAAAAAATTGACTTTACTTCTCACATATATAGTACATATTGGGAAGTTCAGTCCTTTTCATTTTAAAAGTTTATCTCAAACGGTCAAGAAGTCTTTGATATATTGCTATGACCTATGTGGAAACAACTGCTGTTCCACATTTTGATTATTGAAGATGGAGATGTAAAAGTCAATGTTCGGATGGAAGAGGGTCCTTGAAATTGAACCAAAATTCTCGAATGAGATTCTAAGGATTCAACACTTTAGTTCATAATTTGGCTTTTCCTTTTAATTGACATTTGAAGTCAAAATTTTAATAAGAACATCTATATATCATTATCTTGTGTAACTCATTAAGTAAAAGCTAAGATCATCTATTCAGATTCAGAAATAACAAACATATATTGATTATAACAACTTCTTTAATTGTTCCTGGGCTGGATATAACCCTTACCAAGGGCAGCTGATCTGGAATTTCTACTGCATAACAATACTCAAACCTGAGGCAATACATTGTAATGGACAAATTTAGAAGTGTTCCTGAAAGTGCAAATGCTCTTCTCACATTCTGGTTTCTGAACACAGCCTAGGTTGATGTGCTTGAGGATTATCATAATGCTAATGTTGATGTTCTGAGTTTATCTTTTTTTCAAATTCCAAGTACTTCTATCATTTTCTCTATGTTTTGTTTAATGCTCTACAGTTGTTGCTCACGTTATGATTGCTTCACTTTATGATCAGTGCCTAAGGTTCTGCTCTAGACCATACTTTGTGGCTCAATTTATGATCAGTGCCTAAGGTTCTGCTTTAGACCATACTTTGTGGTATCATTTCCTTGCTTCACCATTGGCTTTCATATTCCTTCAGTGAAGCAACATCTTTGTTTTAAAATTATAGTTTTTGTAACATGTTGGATCCATCTCATATTTAATATCCAAGCAAATCATGTTTAAAAGGTTCTAACATGATTTCATTTTGTTTGATTTGAACACCCCATCAACACTTTAAATCATGTCACCATAGCTAGTACTCTCTTTTCCTTAATCCATGTTTATGCTGGGGTTAGAGACTTGGAGTTGCTCAAACGCTAGGGCATGTGGGTGATGACTTAGCACCGTGCAGTTCACTATTCTAGGAATGACTTTGCCTCAGTATGTGAAAACCATGGATTGAAATTCATGAGAGGAAAAGGTTGACATTTCACTTATCTAGTGGACAGCAAGGTGAAAAACATGCACTATTATGTTTATCTTCTTCGCTTTCCTGAACCAAAGTGATTTTTACTATAGGCAGGTCGGTTGTGATAGATTCATTTGCACAGGGTCATTACTAAAATGATGCATAGTAACTTAATTTGAGTTAGTAGACATTGATTGGCACAACCGGCATCTTCGAAAGGGAAACAAAAATAAAATAATAGATCATATCTGATTCTTGCTTTCCTATATACTACACTTTATATTTGTGCATTAAATTTGTTAATGGATCTTCCTTACCTACATTGGTTAGAATATCAAAAGGTTAGGAGACAAGCATGAACAAGCCTCATTATTGGTAAATGAACTTAAAAACACTTGACCAAAAAACAAACCCTTCCCTCATGTTAGAATACCAAAATTTGCTTTCTCTTCTTCTTTTTATTATTTTTCCTTTTATGATTGCTTGAGATACTGGAATTCCTTAAAGTTTTAAAAATCACCAATCAGATAAAGAACATGATCCACAAGGAAAATACACTTTTTCCATTTTATTTGCCCTTTTCTAAAGGCTGGCAAGTAATTATCTTATCAGTAATGGAAAGGGAAGAGTAGCTTGACGACTTTCACATCACAAAAGACTGATATATGATTTTTTTTTTTCAGAGAAAGTCACCACAAAACATAAGAATTTTTCTGTCTCACAGGTGTAAAAGTTACGGTGTTCGTTGTATTTGAATGATAGAGTGGATTTTCACAGCAAAAGAACCTGAATTTTTTTTTTTTATCTGATCTCTTTCTTTCCCCTATGGAAAATATCAGAGGATAACGGACTTGGAAAGATTTGGTTCTGCTTGTCAATGAACCATCTCAATGAAGTTAGACTATATGTATTTCTGAAGATACATTTGGAGCTGCCATATTTGCAAAGTGTTAATTCAGCCTGCATCACTACACAAATTAGAAGAAAAAACAAGTTGACAACTATGCTTTCTATTAACTGATTAATAATTTTTTTTTGTACTCAATTGTGCAAAGTTGCCAATGCATATCTGATTCAATCCACAAAGCTAGACTTGTTGTTGTCTTTGTTTTTTGTCATCAAATTGTAATTTGAATCAATAAAATACTTTGAATTAAATCCAATTTTTTCTGATATATTCCATCCCTTGATGTATGCTTGCTTTTCCTGTTAAGTCATTTCTTTTACTTTGGAATCATCCTTTTATGTAGCAAAGTAGTCAATGAATTGTATGACAGTTAAATAATTGTTTACAACCAGAGAAACTTTATTCTGTTAGGTCTTAGATTTTGATGAGGACTCTTCCTGCAGTGACTTTCAACTTAAAGCCCTGATAGATTCAGATTCTAGCACATAGTCAGGAAAGACCGGAACAAAAATGGATATCCCTTCTCCATTTTAACTTCCTGTTAAGCATCCAATTTTAACTAAAATTTGCTGATGGAGAAATGTTAAAATTTAACTGTCATTCAATTCTTTTTTTCTTGTTTTATCAAAAATTACGAGAAATGTTAGTTCTATAAACAACTGTTTCATTAAATGGAACAACAGTTAATGGCTACCATTAAGGTCAAATCTTTTTACATATAGGTGGGTGTTCATGAAAGTTGCATGGGTCAAAAAAGAAAGGGCCTTATCTCATCTAACAACAACCACCCTGAAAGAGAAGGAACTAATTTATCATACATTAGTTGTGGCGTTTAAGTGGATTTCCTTTTAAAAGCTGAATAGTATTTATCACAATGATCTGCTGCTTTTCCTGCTAAAGTTGGATGAGCATCTACTCATCTTCACTAACTCCTCTCACAAACCAAGCATTATTTTAATAGAAGACAATAATGCAGGTGTACAATTGTCTTGTCACCATACACAAGAAACATAGGCCCATTCCTCTTATGTATAAATACAACCCTGTACGTTCATGAATGGCACAAGATGGACTTCTCGAAAGCAGATAAATTAGAGAGCCAAAATGAGCTTCCACAGCCACAGCAACCAAGCAGAGGCACCAGCTTCCTTAGAACTTGTTTCAATGGACTCAATGCCTTATCAGGTTCCTCTCTTCCTCTGACTTTAGATGTGCAGGATGACTAGGTCCATATATCAGGTTCCTTAATCATAAATTAGCTCCCAGGGGCCGGAGCCATTTGTCACATCCTTTCCAGGTTTTGATGCAATTGTCATGTTCATGTCTTTACGCTGATATTCTCTTCCTCAGGTCAAAAGAAAATTTACACATGGTCTTGATTAAACAAGGTTTTTGCTTTTTTAACGTATATTAAGAAACCAAAAGAGTTTTAATTACCATCTTTAGAATAGGAATCTATTAATGTAAAAAAAAATCAAATAAAGACATATAGTTCCAACAGTGTCAGCTACATGAATCCTTTACTTCCATTTTCATTGGTCCATAACATTTAAAGAACCGATGTCACATTTGATCATTATGAATTAACAGCTGATACAATTGATCTATGTCTAGATGCATTAAGTCATCACTAAGCTGGCCAACTATGCTAGTAATTCTCTTCAAACACTCCTTGCACTGTAACTCGTATACGTTAAAACCAAGTTGAGCAAAGTGTTTAAAATCTTAGTTATTTCACAATTGATCGGTGGTCCATGTTTCCCATGGTTAAGAGCTAATTACTCTGTCTCTCAGGAGTCGGGATACTGTCAATTCCTTATGCACTTGCTCAAGGAGGATGGTTAAGCTTATTGCTTCTTTTCCTGGTAGCTGTTCTTTGTTGGTACACAGGACTACTTCTACGACGCTGTATGGATATGAATCCGCTCATCAAAACCTATCCTGACATAGGTGAACATGCTTTTGGATATAAGGGGAGAGCTATTGTATCTGTGTTCATGTATGTTGAGCTGTTTCTGGTTGCAGTTGAGTTTCTGATATTAGAAGGTGACAATCTGGACAAACTGTTTCCAAACATGGGGTTCAAAGTTGCTGGGTTGAAAATTGGTGGAAGGCAAGCCTTTGTTCTACTGACTTCTCTTATAGTTTTGCCAACTACATGGTTGAAGAGTTTGGGCATGCTTGCCTATGTTTCTGCTGGCGGGGTTTTGGCTTCTTTTATTCTTGTTATTTGCATTTTTTGGGTTGGAGCAGTAGATAGAGTGGGGTTCCATGAGAGTGATGTGCTTTTAAATTGGAGAGGAATGCCTACTGCTATAAGCATGTTTGCCTTTTGTTATTGTGGACATTCAGTTTTCCCCACATTATGCAGTTCAATGAAAGATAGAAGCCAGTTTTCCAAGGTAAGAAAGTGATATTCTAGCATATGAGATGAAAAATCTTCCATCATAAGTGATAACCAGTGTATGTTAACGATCTTTTAGTCCAAAAACTGATAGACAGTAAAGGGTTGGATAGAGTTTTCAGTAGGAAATTAATCACGATTCTATCAACTGATCATTTCATGTTTTCAGTATTAACCAAAAATTATCTTTTTCTGTATAACTCATCTCTGCCATTCTTATTGTGGTTTATCTCATTGCAGGTTTTACTTGTTTGCTTCATCACAAGCACCATCAACTATGGATCAATGGCTGTTCTGGGCTATCTGATATATGGAGAACATCTGAAGTCTCAAGTGACATTAAATCTTCCTATAAATAAGATTAGCACAAAAATAGCAATTTATGCTACTTTAATCAATCCCCTCACAAAATATGCTATTGTAACTGCTCCAATTGCTACTGCCATTGAAGAATATTCACTCTTCTGCAACAGCAGGTCCCTAAGCATCCTCATTAGAACAGCAATTGTGATCAGCACGTTAATTGTTGCCTTAACCATCCCTTTTTTTGGCTACGTGATGGCATTTATAGGATCATTTTTGAGTGTCACCGCATCTATGTTGCTGCCATGCCTGTGCTACCTAAAGATTAACAAAGATGTTCAAAAATTTGGGTTAGAGTTGGTAATAATTGTAGCTATTTTGGTTGCTGGGTCATTTATAGGTGTAGTAGGAACCTTCACCTCCATAAAACAAATTGTAAACCATCTATGAATTATTGAAATGGATGTGTATAGAGGCAATGAGACAAGCAAAATTCATGTCTCTAATAAGAGAACAGTACAAACTACAGAACAATTTCATGGTAATATCTGATTAGTTTTACTTCGGCTTGTGTCTTCTATGGAAGCTACTTATATTGTAGAAATCAATAGAAAAATATGAAAGGCTTTAGAAACAATGGTGTAGCCTAGTGATTTATATGTTTATCCTTTAAAGAAAGATTGTTGAGGTCCAGGTTTCAATTTCCACTTCCCCGTACTTGTCCAAATGTATACAAAAAGATAGAAAACTGATAAAAGACGGTAAACAATTGTAACTGAATTCTGTTCCATCCAGTTCTGTCATCCGAGTTCGAATGGAAAGTTACTAAACAAATCACAACGTGACAAAGCCAGAAGCTAACTAAAAGCAATGAGGAATAGAAAGTAAAAATCTAGTTCACCTAAAAGAGATCACAAGGAAAAGTCATTATGCCTAAATGAAACTGAATATAAAGGTACTTAACTGTAATGTAATACAAAAGTACTTTTAAGCAGCTAAATAATATTGTCATGAAAATCAAAGGAGATATTATTCATGGAGTATTTCGTGGAGAGCTTGGATCAAGATAAATGCTCCTGGCAGGGGATTTAAAAAGTGTAAGATGCTTTCAGAATATCTCACACTGAAAAGTAATAAAAATCAAAATATTAGAGTTCCACTTTTAAGTGACCCACTATATAATCTTCACTAACTGGTATCCCAGAAATTAAAGGCACACTTATTTCATGCAAATCTTCCATGTCATATCTATATCTCCTAACATATTATCCTCATCAAATTGGCAATCCAATTGCCTGTGCATATGCTTTCCAGTTCCTTCTTGCAGTGAGCAATTGTTCTTAGACCGAGCTTGACGCCGAGTCTGAGTCAAGCGTGTTATCCCTCCAAGCAACTTGCTATGTGAACATCCTGCAGTATCGTCTTGCATTGGTACATGATTTCCAGACCGAGCTTGACGGTGAATTTCAGTCAGGCGGGTTTTAGTTCCTTGCAAGCACCTTAAGTGTCCTCTTGGAATCTTTGTTGCATGAATGATTGGCTTTTATGGCGAGCTTGGCGTCGGATTTGACTTAACCGGGTCACTGTTCCTTCACCATGAGATCCATCGCTTTCATTTCTCTCATGAGCAATTAGGAACATATACTCATGGTAAGTTTTGTCTCAAAAAAAAAAAAAATCAACTGATACATGAGTTTAAAGAAAAGTAAATGCATATAAATATTGGGTAAGAACAGAGGAGAATAAAAACAACATATTAGAAGAAAAAACAAGTTGACAACTATGCTTCCTATTAACTGATTAATAATTTTTTTTGTGCTCAATCGTGCAAAGTTGACAATGCATATATGATTCAATCCACACCTACTCATTAGACACAAAAATTATAGGGTTATCATTAATCTTTTTTATTTAGATGTGATTGATCATCTATGCAAATCTATCATTTTTAAGATTATCCTAAACGTAAACTAAGGATCTTTAAAGAAATAGATTCTGATTTACATAATCAAAACTAAGGTTAAGTCAGTGACGTGTAAAAAAAGTATTAGCACCAATTTATGCCCAAAATTAATACAAAGTTACTTAGTGTTATCTTACTTAAACCTTATCCAAGATAGTTTTATTATACAAATAAATCAATTCCAATCCATTTATTTATTTACAAAACATGGTGGTACAAAAATTCTATCAAAATATCAAACAATAATGCAATAAATATTAAATTATACTATACAAAAATTATCATGCAAATATATTATAAATCATACCAAATATCATATAATAATATAATGCCTAGATCATACTAAAATATTCATGCAAGAATATCATACAAATATATTAATTATCACGCAATAATAATAATAATAATATATAATATCATGCAAATATATTAATAATTATGTAATTAAATATAATCATGCAATTATGTATACAATAAATATAAAAACATGTAATTAGATATCATTTAAATATAATATTAATCATGCAATATCATATAATATCATATCACGCAATAAATATAAAATCATGTAATAATAATAATAATAATAATAATAATAAAAACCAAGCTCTTGACATACAGTTTCCAAGATAGTTTAATAGATCGACAGCAAGATTGTACATACAATTAGATTGAAGCCAAATCCATTCGTGGAAGGATTTGGCCAAAACCTCCATCGCCTAGTATAAATATTTTCTTGATCTAGCCCTTGACAGGTTGTTGTTACAAAATATAGAGAAAAGTTCAACAAAACCTTTAAAAAATATGCACATCAATGGAAAGATGTGGCGGCCCAAGTCCCGCCACCATTAGCTGAAAAAGAGATGACTATGTTTTTCATTAACACATTAAAAACACCACACTATGACAAGTTGGTTAGAAATGCAACAAAGAATTTCTCTAATATGGTGATTTCGAGAGAAATGATAGAAAACGGCATCAAGTGTGATAAAATTGAAAGGCTCGAAAAGAAGACAACAAATAAAAAAAAGAAATAGTATGAGACACACATATATCCACTTACGAAAATTTCTCACATCATTTCTTTTTTCCATACAACCTAAACCCACCATACTATTCTTATTACCCTATTACTAACTAAATCTCTCAGCACTCTTATTATTACCAAGTACCCCAATAGCCACCACACAAGTCGAGCGTTAGTCCTCAAGCACCCAATTACACCATCGTACCTTTAACTCAACCGTTTGCCCAACCAACCCATCAAACCAATAACCAAAAAAACTGACCGATTTGTACCCCCAGATGTTGAGAGGCCACTTTATTGCCCCTACTCGTGTGGTACCATTAAAACCACCCTACCTAAATTGGTATGACTTCAACGCCAAGTGCGATTACCATTATGGCATGGCAGAACACTCTATTGAAAACTGCACAGCACTTAAACATAAGATATAAGGTCTAATAAATAAAAGGGCTTTTTAACTTTTGATACTAAATTCAAGCCAACTGTTAGTGAAAATCATTTGCCAAACCACACCAAAAGGAAGATTAATGTTGTGGGTAGTGAAAAAGATGTAAGGATCAAAAGATGCATAGATGAAGTAAATACCATTTTTGAATGGGTGTATGATTATTTGATTAAGACAAGTATGATTCAGCCGATATCTTTGGATAATAATAGAGGCCATAAAGACCATAATCGGGTTTGTAAGTACCATTGAGGAATGATTAGGCATTCGATTCAAAGATGTGAAGTCTTTTGACGAATATTGCAAGGTTTGATAGACACGCTGTAATAGAATTTTATGATGAACATGATGAAAATGGTGTGAATATGATGAATGATGAGCCCTCCGGTAAGTTTTTTATCCTCAAACCCTTAATGGTATTCTATGATGAGAAACTGAAACTTAAAATTAAGAAAACTATCTCTTTTTCTATGATACCAATGATTATTTATGTCCCTAGTCTATTTTCTTATCAAACTAATAAAGTAGTCTCATGGAAGTACGACTATGATGTTGTGATATGAGGACCTGATATGACCTTAAACGATCTAGGAATAGAGAATATTGCAAACATAATAGGCATAGGAAAAATAACTTGAAGTGGCCGATATTACATTTTTAGAATATCGAAAAGGGCCAAAAAAAATAAAGATAAGGTGAGAAAAGAAAATATAAGGGAAAGTTAAGGTACTCAACCGATGGTAAGCCCAATTAAAGAATTGATATAAAAAAAAAAAGCTTGTAAGTTTCTAAAGATCACTAAGCATAGTGAGTACAGTGTGATTGACCAACTGAATAAATTTTTAGCTTGCATTTCTTTATTGTCATTACTGTTAAGTTCAAAGCCACATAGGAATGCTTTGCTAAAAGTACTTAACTAGGATTATGTTAGACATAATATTTCTGTTGAAAAAATAGATCACATGATTGGAAATATTATAGCTCTAAACTTTATTACTTTCAATGATAAGGAAATCTTTTAAAAAGATGAAGTAGTGTGAAGGTCCTTGCACATCACCGTTAAGTACAAAATTCATACCATGACCAAAATATTGATTGATAATAGGTTATCTATTAACATCATGCTTATGACTATATTACCAAAGCTTCTAGTAGGCCCTTCCTATATAAGAAACAACCGTATGATAGTAAAGGCTTTGACAGAGCATAAAAATATGTGATCAATGCTATAAAGATTCTATTATAGATTGGCTCGTGTATTTTCAATGTTTCATTTCAGGTAATGGATATAATACCTACAAATAGTTATTTACTTAAAAGATCTTAGATTCACACGACTAGAGCTATATCTTTATTTTTACACCAGAAGGTAAAGTTTATTATTGAAAGGAAGCAAGTTTGTCTAGATGTTAAGGAATATTTATTAATGACGAAAACCTTGACCACTTCTTATGTCAAGGCTACAGAAGAGGCAACTGAATATTCATTTAAAGTTTCTGAAGCAGTAAATGCTACTTATGTTAGAGAAAGGTCAAAGATACTAGTCTTTTGATTATCGAAGATTACAGATATGGTAATCAAACAGACTATAAGCAAAGGTTGGCAAGCAAAACAAGATTTAAAAAGGATTTTACAAGGGATCAAGAAGGAACTAAGCATGACTGAAAATGAAGAGAGATAGGGTTTAGGTTATAAACCTACTACCACTGATAAAAAGAACATGATGCTAGAAAAAAAAAAGAGAATGGCACACCTCGAAGGGTATAAGTTAGTTGATGAAAAAATGGTGTTTCCCTATTTATTTGAGACATTTCATTTCAGGGGATATGTCTATTCGAGATCATCAGAGGTTGAAAAGGATGAACCAATGATAGGATTGAAGGAAACCTTCTCTCAAGTTCGGATTGACGTAAATGAGAAAGTTGTGCAAGATAAGGAAATGTTCTTTTTTCTTTTTTAGGTTAGCAGATCCAAGAATGATGTACTATTTTCATTATCTTTGAACCATTCAAACT